TCGGTGGTGGTTACGGACGTCCAGGTTTCGGCGGCCCTGGATTCGGCGGTGGTTACGGACGCCCCGGCTTCGGTGGCGGTTTCGGCGGCCCTGGATTCGGTGGCCCTGGATTTGGCGGCGGTGGTTATTACCCAGGTGGTGGATTCGGCGGTGGACCCGGCGGCTTCGGTGGTCGCGGTGGCGGTCGTGGCGGCGGCGGCGGCGCATCTTCTGCTTCTGCCTCGTCCAGTGCATCGGCAGCTGGCAATGGCGCTGCCTCAGCCTCCTCCTCTGCGTCAGCCTCCGCCTCAGGTGGCGGTTTCGGTCGCTAAAATGTTTAAGTCTGTGCGCAGTGCACCGATACGAGATTTTACAAAATGTTAACTTAGTTAGTTATAAGCTATGTTTAAAAGTCTGAAAATTAAAACAAAATTTAATACCATCTACTTGTCGTTTAACTGTCATGTTTCTATAAAAAGTAAATAGATGTACACGACGCAGCTCAATATAAATAATCACTTTAACTTAAACTTAAACTTTATGGGTTGACAATATATGACAAGATAATAACAGGGCTCGCTCATTGTTATGAATTCATCAAAATTTATTTTCGTGACCAGCTAAAAGCTCGACACAAGCACACCTCAAATCCCGTAGCACCTGTTCCCGAAAACCTCTTAAAACTGTTTTCAGCAACAATGTTTGCCTGAACACCCAATTAATTGATCTCAGTGGTTTATCCATAAAATTTATTTGCTTACATTTTTTTTTTTTGCATTGATGTCGTCAGAAAAGCCACCAAATGAGGCGAATCACCTCTTCAAGTTGAACTTGTTGGTGCCGTAGAATAAAAATTCGCAGCTAATGATAAAAGGCAAACAAGAAAGTCCGCGGCCATTATACAACGAATATTAAATGCCCTTGTAGACATATGGCATTGAAGTGCTTCCATTAAAAATTTTATTCTTCCGCTTACTTTTATAGGAACCTAGGATACCGGATACAGAATAGCTGAGTTTTTAGTTGAGCTTCATTAAGATAACGTGAAAAATTAAAAATGTTTACACTTTATTTAATGGATTCTTCGCATAGAGCTAAATGATATAGTATTTCGATGTTGCTATGATGTTGCTGATATAGAGAACTTGTAAATGCGAAGTTTACTTAAGATATTTAAGAATAATCTGAAAAGTCTTTCAGGAAAGGCCTTGAAATTTACAGAACTTCCCAATGACAGTTATACAATATAGAAGTCAGATTCGGTCGGGTACGATATGTTTTCTAATACTTTTATAATCACACATATGTATGTAGTAAAGTCTCAAAAAAACGAAGACCTATACTTATGTGAATTTGGCAATATTGCCTACTTGCGATCTGGTCACACTGATCCATTGAAGAGCAATCGCGGTACTTAGCTCGTCACATTGCACCAATGCGATAGGAGAGTCGTCTCAGAGAGTTTGTGGGATGGGGTTGTTGTTGAAGTAAAAAATCATTTATCAATAAAATAGAATTCGCTGATGTTGATATTAGATTAAATACCATTAAATTGCAATTTGGTATTCCTGCTAAAAGTTACAAAGTTACAATTCATGATAGCTCAATTGATTAATGTCATTTGATCGCACATGCTAGTAAAACTCTTGAGTGGGGACTCACCCGTTCAAGCCGGCGCACAAAATGCAGTACATAATACCCTGCATCCATTTAAATGGGAAAATGGGTATATTCTAGATTAGAAGAGTGGGTTTGAGGTCATATACACACAGACGGTGTGTGAGCATTGGACAAATTTGGTATGCCCTAGTTTATTATCTTCAGATAGAGTTCTTTAAAAGCGAAATAAAAAACTAACAAAAAGGGATGTTGCAGTACGGGGATTCAAGTTGGAATACTTGGCTATTATAGATGCAGTTAAAGTTAAGATTCTAATAATATTAATAGTACAGACATTAATTTGTGATCCGGGAATATTTTTATTGCGAGTATACATGGACACCTGCATATCGCGTTTCTCCATTCTGTTCTATTTCAAATATTGCTATCACCAATTTTTTGATCAGCAAACTCAAAATTGGTAATTAAACTGGTAAGTACAAGCTCTTGTTGACTTAGGGTATCGTCAGGTTGAGCAGTCTTTTACGGTTGTCTTAAGCATTCCCACTTGCTGACGTTTATAATAATAATGATGTTGTTGCAGGCGTAGCTAATAACTTGAATTAAGGCATAGAAAGCAGGTGAATAGCTTGAGGTGTTCGAACTGAGAACCCGGGGATTCATTAATCACATCGCCGATTGACCAGTTTGATCGTTTTACGTTGTTGTTAACCGTATAAATAGCTTGGAGGGATTGACATAGGTCAATCAGTTTGCCTGTGACCAGCTTTGTGTAAACAACAGTTCCATTTATCGATCCGAGCAACATGAGAATCCTTTTTGTGCTTGTTTTATTGATTGCTGCCGTCGCCGCAGTGCCTCAGTTCGGTTTCGGAGGTGGCTACGGACGACGGTTCCGTGGTGGCGGATTTCGGAAAGGTGGCGGCGGGGGTGGTCGCGGCGGGTCTTCCTCTGCTGCAGCCGCGTCCAGTGCAGCGGCCGCCGGCAATGGAGCTGCCTCAGCTTCGGCCTCCGCGTCTGCTTCTGCTTCAGGTGGAGGTCGCTTCCGTGGCTGAATTGCTGGAGTCTGAGCCTTGCGCACCGACATGAGATTACAAAGTTCAATTATTCTTAAGTTATGTGTAAAAAGTTTGGAATTAAAAAAAAGTAATAATGTATTGTTGTGTTAAATATTAAGATTAAAGAAGAAAGTTATAGCAAATGCTAAGGGAGCACAATTTTCGGCGCACCGAACAGCTTGAGCTGCTCTTTGGGCTCTTATTATAACCAAACTTGATTAAAGAATATCAAGACGCGGGCTAATAAACTTTTCAACATAGAGATTTGATTTTATAAAAAAATGAAGTTCAACCCATCTTTCAGAATATATTCTAGTTCCAGTAGACTCCATAACATTTTATAATAATTCTTAAATATGCCCAAAACAATATAATTTGTTGGTTGTTATTGGGATGTAAAACTGAACAACCGTTTGCTGTTGTTTGTTTATGTTTCTGGTTTATTTATTTTATTTTCTGTGAATTACCAATCGTTTTCTATGAAAGCTGCATAAAATGCCCGTTAATTCCGGCATATATGTGAGAACAACAATAAAAATGTTTTGCACACACGGGTTTCTGGCTACGCTTCAACTAATGATCAGGAAACCTGAAATGCCCTCCACATAGTCGACAGCTCAATTACGTACAGTCGAGTCATATAAAAATAAAGGTAGAATATAATGCCGAGAAATAGCTGTAGCCTCATAAGGTATGACATAAACGAAGAATTAAAGAATAAGTTCAAAGCGCCGAACTTTGAATGCGTTTTTAATAATAATATATACTATGTATATTAGGTTAGACTTGGCCATTTATTTCCTGAGGAGCAACATTTCTTAATTTGGCTTAAATATTTGCAAAAATAACTATTTTGACTGATAGTTTTTGTAAGAGATAAGAGAGGATAACGTGAAAACCAAGAGCTCTTGATTTTGTTCCATAGTTCCAATAGATAGTCTATTTGTCTCTAGAAGCGTACTCCTAACATAGATCATTACTGAATAATGGTTATTATTGCATTGCCAACTAAAAGGCAGGGGTATTCTGCATTGCACATTCAAAACACTTTCGCAAAATTCAATGTTGCACACTTTTTGGAGCTCAGTACAAATTTAAAACTTTTTAAAAATCCCAAAAGTATACTAGTATATCTGATTTGGTGATCAGCTGATATGTAAATTTTAGTAATGAGGATCTAAATCTAAGATATATAATAAGCTTTTTCAATTTACCCGATGGATAAAGAAATTGTTAGGTACGCGAGACTCATATCAACAACTGTGACAGGATGCGATCATTTCTAATACAAAACAAAATATATATATAAATAAATCATTTTAGCTTAGCTTAGCAGCTTGCTAGAATAAATTAAATCAAATGTAAACATTAATTAGCAGAAATAAACGTATGCCATAGGAAATATAAATAAAAGTAATCAAATTTCGAATCAATGAATATACAAAAATTACGAATCAATATTAATTAATACCTGTTTTATCTATCAGCTTTCGATTTGGCAAGAAAAACAACATTTTATGCTTGGCAGAGCTGCGCATATTCAGTTCAGTGAACTAGTTACCTCAACTAGTACATATGAACCATGTTGCGAACAGAATAACAGACTTTTTTTGTTTCAAACTAGTTTGAATGAAATATTCAATACATCGTAATAATATACTAATTATCTTTTCATTTAAGTATTCAAGTATAGAACTATTTGCCATTTGCAGCCAGGTTATTTTTTTGTTTATATCTTTATTTTAATGTTTATTCATTCAATTTTAAATATTCTATAATTTAAAACTTGATATCCTACAAATTAACTGGCTTAAAAAATAAAACAAATATCAAGTTTTATTTTTTAAGTCAGCGGCTTGGGCAATGAAAATCACGTATAGCATGGAGCAAGGGGCACGTTTAAGTTCTGGTATCAACATCTGATCGAAGAGTTTCTAAAACAAATAGATAAGAAGGAACCGGTTGCTCCACCTGACCAGCGGCATGTAGGGTATTGTCATAGTCATTTATGGGCCAGCTAATTGACAATACTAATTCGCATTGATGATCGTTTGGTGGTTTTTGTTTTTGTTCGGTTTGTTATTGTTGCTGGCGAATTTGAAACCAAATCTCTGACGTTGTAGAAAACTAATGAAGTCTCAGAAATGTTTGTGTGTTTGGCTACATGATCATTTTGCACTCATCATCTCTCATATTCTGGCTCTCTCTCTTTCTCTTTCCCTTTCTGTCTCTTTCGTTGGCCAGCTGATTAATGGGGAAGGTGGGTATGTGGATATCCCGGGTCCGATTTGTATAAAAGCCACCGCTTGTTGGGCGCTTTGTTAAGTTTTCGAAGCCAACTCGAGGCCTCATCATGAAACTGTTTATCGCTCTCTCCGTGCTGGTAGCCGTGGCATCAGCTTTGCCTCAATTTGGCGGCGGCAACGCCAACGCCAATGCCAATGCCAATGCCAATGCGCAGGGTTTTGGAGGCGGTGGCTTCGGCGGTAGACCCGGCGGTGGTTTCGGTGGTGGACCCGGATTCGGAGGCGGCGGCTTCGGTGGTAGACCCGGCGGTGGTTTCGGTAGACCTGGAGGCGGTTTTGGTGGTGGACCCGGATTCGGAGGCGGCGGCTTCGGCGGTGGACCCGGAGGCGGTTTCGGCGGTGGACCCGGAGGCGGTTTCGGTGGCGGCGGCGGCTCATCCTCTGCGAGTGCCTCGGCCAGCGCCAGTGCCGGCGGTGGTGGTGGTTTCCGCGGCTAAGCCATATAAGATCTGACTTATGTATCTTAAATAATTAAGAGTTAATGAACGTGAATAAAAAATGATGAAGCTAAATCTTATTTAAGAAAAGTATTCATCGCAATTAATTGTATCTATTTATGGTGTGCCTATCCCAGCGATTTGTATTCTACGTGAGAAATTGCAAGATCCGAAAACAATGGTTAAAGAGGGGAAGCTTTTATGTTGTGCCCAAGGAACATAGATTGATAACATATAAAGCCCAATATATTATATAACAGTATGATAATAGATTAACTAATATCAATATATAGCCTATATTCGAACCTCCTTTACACACACATACATACAACACACAAACCAATTCCCACACTATAGAGTATCCAAAGACCATTAAAAGTGAAATATTTTACACCTGTAGAACTAATTGAAGAACCTAGATTAAAAAACATTAATATTTGATCTTCAATAAACGGGCGAGTATTTACTGAGTTGATAGAAGGAAAAGGATAAGGATAAGGAAAATCTTTGAATTCCGAATTGTACCGAAATTTATCAAGAGAATTTAAACAATTCTCTAAAGATGTTCTTGAAACGAAGCATAAATACTCCTGCTGTAAATGCAGTTAAAGTATTAAAAACTAAAATCAGTTTTATATATCTTAGAGCTACACATTTATAACCACAAACCACACCAATAGGTCTGTGACCAATTTTTACAGTCGCCTCGATTCTGCACAGTGCACATTGCGTAGTCATGAACTTGTGACTGTAACATTGTAACTAGTTAACTTATTTTGCTGCTTAGCATCTTAATTAGTAAACCTATAATCAGCAGCCACTTTGTTCTTACTAATTATATACCCGGGCAAGTTTAGTTAATCCGATGACCAAAGTGGCAAAATTATCGTTACAATATTACAACGTTTTAAATGTAAATAGACTCAAAAATTTTGAACATAACTTTTTAATGTAGCAAGTTTACAATTTTAATATATTTAAGTGCAAAATTGCGGAAGAGCTTAGGGGAAATAAATAAAGTTTTATACATTTTTGAAGGCTTTTTTGGGGCTCCTGTAGTCATAAGATTACAGGAAAAACCGGTGAAACAGCTTAGCTGTAAGCAAAATTTGCCAATCATTATAACACATTAATTTGAGTACAGTATAAACATGAGTTTTGCTAAAGCAAAGTCATATCACACCTAGACAAAACATTCTTTTCTCTTTTATAAATACATTTAATATATAAACCTAAAAAGTACCTGTAGCTAAGTATACAGAAAGACGTCAATTGAAACCAAACAAAGCCAATTCAACTGCAAAAAAAAAAAAAAAAAATAGAAAAATAGCAGAAAGCAGTAAAATTTTAATATATATTAGTCCATAACTGGTTTGAGAGAAATCCAGCATAGATTCAGATCGTAAATGTGCCTCTGAAGGTTTGCACACTTTCCTTCGTCCCACAATTCAATTTGATTAGCTTGGGCTCGAAATCGGGCGTCTAATGTGATCATAATTTAGCGGCTCAACTGTTTTGTCAACTCATCTGTTTTTCGTCTATATGTGTGTATGCTAATTGATGTTGACGTCTGGCCAGACTCTGGTAGTTCACCGTTTAGTGTTATAAAAGCCGAGATCTTTGGCGCTCAACATCAAGTTTGTTAGGTGACTTCATACAGTTCGGACAAGCAGCAACATGAAGGTCTTCGTTGTACTGAGCATTATCCTGGCCGTGGCCGTGGCAGCACCACAGTTTGGCGGCGGTAATGCTAATGCCAATGCTGGAGCCAATGCCCAGTCTCAGGGTGGATTGGGTGGAGAAGGCGGCTTTGGCGGACCGGGCGGCTTCGGAGGCAAGCCTGGTCATCATGGTCATCATGGTAACCGCGGTGAAGGTGGCTTCGGTGGTCCCGGTGGTTTCGGCGGCCCCGGTGGTCCCGGAGGCCCCGGTGGTCCCGGCGGTTTCGGTGGTCAAGGCGGTTTTGGCGGACCCGGCGGTTTCGGAGGCGGTAACGCCAACGCCAATGCGGAATCCAGTGCCACTGCCAATGGCGGCGGTTTCGGTGGACCCGGCGGCTTCGGTGGTGCTAATGCCAACGCTGATTCCAGTGCCAGTGCAAATGGCGGTGGTTTCGGCGGCGCCAACGCGAAAGCATCTTCTAGCGCCAGTTCCTCAGCCAATGGCGGTGGTCTCGCCAGTGCCACATCCAGTGCATCTGCTAACGCTGGCAAATAGGAGAATCGATATCCGACAAACCATACCGAACTGAAAAGAATTGTTAAAGTGATTTAGTTTATTCTTATTTATAAATTAAATATGAAAAAAAAAAGATTCTTGGGTTAACCTTTCTTAAAGCCCATTTACAGGGTATCTTCAAGCGATTCACAAGTATACTTTGTTATTTATGAGTGCAGAACAAACATTGATTAGCAACAGGGTGTGAGTTTTTTTTATCAATGTACTTCAGCTGTATAGTCTGCGAAAATTAGCCAGAAGTAGGGCTTCACGTTTAGAGTCCGATGATTTCATTCGGTTTCCAAATTGTGTAGAAAATAATATATATGCAGGTTTACAATATTCTGTTGGGAATATCGAAAACACAGCATCAATAAAAAAAATTATTTTAGCTAGTCTACCTCTGTCAAACAGGTATATACAAATTAAAACAGCTGTTATAATTTATGTTGAGTATCTAATATTAATATCGGTTGCGTTTAGAAGCATAAAGAATAAATCGAGGGAATCAGAGAGCAGACTAATAAATAGATTCATAGTTTTCAGGCACATTGGAAATACAAATTATAATAGTAAAATATTAATTTTACTGAGCTTTTAAGAAACTTATGTCTAATTAGACATTGTTGATGCTGTTTTCAAAACAAGTCATATTAATATTATTATAATTTTCTCTAATGCCCACGGACGCAAATGCTTTTAACATATAGACGTAAATGAGATTATTAGATATACACTTGACAAAATATGCAGCTAAATGTATTTTTTTTGTTCTTAAATTATTTTGTCAACTTTTCTGACTTTTCTCTATGTAAACGTATGCTAATTGATGTTGTCGTCTGGCTTTTGCAGACTCTGATAGCTTACCGTTTAGAGCTATAAAATCCGAGATCTTTCGGACAAGCAGCAACATGAAGGTCCTCGTTGCACTGGGTATTATCCTGGCCATGGCCGTGGCAGGACCACAGCTAGGAGGCGGCGATGCCAATGCCAATGCTGGAGCCGATGCCGAGTCTCAAGGTGAAATCGGCCTAAGAGGCAAAAGTAGTGATGGTGATCAATATGCTAAAGTCTGTTTCAATGGACCCCACAGTATTGAAGGCGGTAGCGCCAACGCTAATGCAGATTCCAGTTTAACCGGCCTTTCCGGCGAAAGTTCCTATGGTATTGATGGCTTATCCCTACGGCTCCTTGCTGGAAAATAGGCGAATCGATATGCGACAAACCCTATCGATCAGCAAAGAATTTTGAATGTGGTTTTATTTATTAATATGTATATATCCAATATATAAAAACAATTTTGTTTGTGCTTACCCTTCTTAAAGCCCATTTCACAAGTATTTCACAAGTATTCTTTATTATTTATGAATGCATAACAAATGTCAGTGTACTTCTGCCAAAATTAGGCAGAAGTAGGCTTCCATGTTTAGAGCTAGATGATTTGAATGCAGCTAGGTTTCTCCAAATTTTGGAGAATAAATTATATGTATATGCAGATGTTTTGTTTTCTTCATTTATTTTTTTTTTATTTTTCTTACACACAATTCGAAATCTAAGTTTGAAATGTATGCGTTTTAGAGATATCGCCAACACATTTAGCGTCAATAAAAAAATGTTTATTAAGTCTTCGACTTTCAAACAAGTAAATACAAATTAAGAACCTTTTTAATTTTCAATATAATTATCGCTTGTGCTTAAATGAATTTTAATTAAGAATAAATCCCCGTAATCAGAAAGCTCGGTAGCAAATCGATTTATACTGTGCTCGCACATTAGGTATATAAATAATACTAATAATAAAATATTTATTTTATTGCGCTTTCATAGAAACAGATATCAAGTATAAAGTTCGCTAATACACATAAACGTAAATGACTTTATAAAATAGATGAACTACACTTGGCCAAATTTGAAGTTAAATCCATTTGGTTGTCCCAAGCTTGTAGAATACAATAACATACTTAAATATTTTATGTATGATATTTGAGTTAGTCTTAGATGTCATTAACATATAGCTATATATCACATTAGACGGCAAACAATATATGTAGAAGAAAGTTTTCGTCTGATCGATCCTTGTGTTAAGCTTAAAACCATTGGAGCTGGCAATCGAGTATGGCATATCCGACTAACATTTTGACAATAACATTCAATTTTTTTCCGACCAAAAACTATATTTTAATAAGAAATCAATTTTTAAATCGTCAACAAAAACAATTTCTTGGTATAACTTTTAGATACAAGTTTTCCCGATTTTATTCTATTCCATCCCGAATGCTGCGCATGTTTGTTATTAAAATGTGAGTTAATCGCAATATTTATTTAGATGTTGAACGGGCCTATTGTTTATTAATATTATGTTCGCTCTAATGATGCAAATTGCTTAAACAAATCTAAGCAATAAATTTACGGCGAACGGGTTCTGGAAGAGGCAGCTGCTGTGCAGAAATGCAAATTTGCTTTTGGCTACCGTACAAAATATTTTAAACAGTTGTTGATGTCAGAAATTATCAAGTGACTGGTCACACTTGAATGGTAAACCAAAAATATTTAATTAACGCTCTTGTTTGACAAGATTTGCTTGACAAATAACTTCAAATATCGGAAGAGGTAAATGTTTCCAAAAAAAAAAAATAAATAAAATAAACAATTGAGATGGATATTCTCCCAAAAGTATGCAATATGCAAGTTTGCGAATTCGATGAGACTTCCAAAATCGGAATGTGGTTATAGGCTGAGCAACATATGCCTCTAGGATATCAAAATGTGCTCAGTCATATATTTGTAGGCCAGTCCCTTAAAATATATTTGGTCCGATGACGTCAATCGAAACAAAACGGAATTTTATTTAGCTTTATCTATATGTAAATTATATGTTAATTTTGATATTTAGGAGGCGGGCGCCTCGACAAGCCCACTTATGACTTTGCGGTCTCTAGATATCAAACGTTTTCTAAACACAATTTGTTTAAGTTTGTTGTCGATTTTATTTTTCTTTTGATAGACCTGACGTATATGTATATAAAAACATTCTTGTTGTTCATTTCAGCAAGCGTATATTATTTCTTAATTATCTGTGATGTGGAAATTATCTTTTATCAACAAACTTAAGATCTCGACAGTCGTTTTATTGGCTAGTTGGACAAATGAAAGCGGTGGACAGCAAGTCCAAACAACTAGTTTCACATTGTTTATCAGTTGATTACTGAGAAGGAAGACCAATTGATGAATTTAAATTATTGCCGGGCATTTTCAAATTGAGTTTGTTAATGGAGAATACATCAAAACGAAACTATTTCGAAATTACCAATAATACCTGGAAAATTTGATTATTCCAGTATGGATAACTTTATTTAGTATAGATAACTTAATTCATCTATACTAGAGTGATCAAATTTTTGCAGTTTTCTTTTTTAACAATTAGTTTTATATTTAAAATTCAAATTTTATTTCTTTATAGTTTGTCATCAAAGTTCTCTGTATTTATCTTGGAATAAAAGTTGAAACTCACATTGGTTTTAATCTTGAATTTTACCATCATATGTTATTGTGTTCAATTTCTTCCCTCAACAACGAAGTGCCCAACCATAACATAACCCGTGAGTATGAATAGTATATTTATTTTATTCAATATTTTCAAGATGGTACTGTTTATGAGGCGTGGTTCGTTTCAGGTGTTGCTGCTGTGTTATTTATCCTGAGTGGCGGTGATTGACACCGCTGTTGTTGGCACTGGCACTCGCATTGGCATTGGCCGATGCGCTTCCATTACCCTGGGTAGAAGCATCAGCATTGGCATTGGCAACGGCGCTCGATTGGCCACCACCGCCACTGCCTCCACGGCCGCCATAGCCGCCATTGCGATGTGGAGCTGCCTGAACGGCCGCCAGAGCAACCAGCAGAATTGCAAACAGCACTAAGAACTTCATCGTTAATCCAATCAATGATTACTGAAAGATAATTTCTTGCCTTTTATAGCAGAGCACAAGTGGAGAAATCAAATGACTGGTTTCTTGACATATTTATGGGGTAATAATACAAAAAATACAAAACAAAACAAAAAGAGAATTAAATTATTATAGTACATATACCGCTCATGACGTTTAGCACTACGACTATAATTATGAACAGGTCTTCGAGCTGCTAAAACTCTTACTTGAAAAAGCTCAAGCTTTGGGATTGCCATACGCAAAAGTTAGGATTATTCAAGCAGACTTTTGGGTGCAATTAAAATTGTTGAAAGTTTGCAAAAGCTTAGAAAAAGCACTTCAAATATTGTGATCGACTTTTAAAACTTGACGATAATTTAACGATTTAATTATATCAAAATTATATTAAAACAAGTAAGAGGTTCTAGTTGAAAGTTCCAGACTAGGGTTGCCTGAACCCTCTTCTACCAACACAAAATGCAGCTCAAGCGGCTCAATTGCTTAGCAGTAATAAAAATAAATTTAAAAATATTTTAAAAAAATCCTTGAAAAAAACCAAAACACACTGAAAACAATACAATCGCAATTGCAATGCTGTTGATAGAATTCAGTAAAGACGCGTGCGTATGGAGGTGGGGATAGCAATAAAATGAAAGATACTTGATATATATATATATATATATTCTACTCGCTACATGTCAAGTTTGGTGACTCTAGCTCTCGACTCTATGCTGAACGAATTTATATTCTTTATGGCGTCGGAGATGCTTCCTTTTGCCTGTTACATAAATGTGCACAAATACATTTCACCACTTTTAACCATTTTTAATGGGTTCAGCGTATAATGGGAGGAGGAGAGAAAAAATATTAGTACAAAGAGAGAGGGAAAGTAAAATATGCTAGATGAAACAAGATGATAGAGAGCTAGAGATAGAGAGAGATTAAGAAAGAGAGAGAGCGAGATTGAGAGAGATTGAGAGAGAGAGAAAGACAACAACAGAGACTATTAATATAAATATCTAGACAGTAAACTTCAGTACATTCTAACATGATTAATCACCAAGCAATGTGTATCAGTTAATAAATTGTTTAGTTAGTCAGCGGGTAGAAAAAAAACCCGCTTTGATTCAACCTTCAATCACTTCTTCTTCTTCTTCTGCAATATAGCCCGCACTCAACATGCATTTTAGCGCCTGTCTCAAGTTCGAATGGAAATGAACGCGTCGTGTTTATTTTATTGCCCACTCTTTCGAATGGGAACGTGATAATCATTGCTAAACCCAAAACCCTATGTCACCTAATCAGATACATACGCATTGCATATGCTTATAAACCTATATAGCTATCGGCGAACATCGATGAATGAATAAACCGCACAGTGTGGTTGCCAAACCAGATCAGTAGCTTCGATTTCATGGACCAGTCACCATCCACGTGTCTGCGACCGAGTCTCAATTGGAATCTGCGTCTGCGTCTGCGTCTGCTCATGCCGGAACATTAAAGCCCAAAAATGTATGACGATTACTTTGGCTAATGCTGGTTTTCAACACAGGTGGGCAGCGCACAATTTTGCTGGTGGGTCGGCTAAGAGCAGTTTCCAAAGTTTTCCAGCTGTTGCATTTGTTGAGTGCGCTACTTTTAGATACCCTGCACGCACTAGAATTTCAAATTAGAGAAACATTATATTTTGATAGAAATGTTTCGATCTAAATAAAACATTTATCACATATATTAATACAAAATGAAATAATATTTAGTTCAACTGTGTTTATATCTGTCTCCCTCTGTCTATATATCTATATTTATTTATAAGCACTTATAAAGTATATATAGTTATGCTCAAATAAATGTTTTTTCTCGAAAAGCGTATTTTTTGGACCAAAACGTTTCCAAAAATGTAATGAGTATGGGCTCATATGGTTTAACTTATCATATAAGTAGTTCTTGAGTATTACTCAAAAAGTACGCATTCTCCATAGTGCCATTTGCAAATCTCTAATGCATATTTCATGATTCTAACAGCAACAGGAACTTTCTTTTAAACTTTGTAGAGGAGCACTTTCAAGCATCATAAATTTAGCTGATCATCTTGAAATGAATTATAATTGAACGCATACTTGATTCATGTCAACTATATTAGTTCATGGGCTCCTTTTAAAAAAATTCTATTAAATTATATAGAATTATAGATAAACGTTAGCTATTTCTCAAGTCGAAGAGCTAAGCATGTTAGTTGGCGGCGATTGGCTTCACAGCTGTAGAGCTAGTTCGAATAATACTCTTAAGTGGTTCAGACTGGTTGCCACTCCTCTAAGAACGTATATTTACATTTTCTGTTGACTTCTCTCAGCTGTTGGGCCATGCAGCGTATTTGAGCAGCCACTTTGGCCGATTCTCTCGGCAATATTATGCCATTTATATTTATTTACAAACACCAATGCAAATGCAACACCGAACCCATTTGTGGATAAACCACAAATGCTATACGAATTCATATATATACATATAAACATTTTTTGTATTATTTACGCAAACTGTAAAACAAACACAAAACGAAATGGATTATTGTAATTCATGTTTTATTTATAATTTATAAAATCGTTTCTTTAGCCACACATTAATTTGCACAACATATTTTTTGTATTGTTTTCATCCTCTTTCTTTTCGTTTATCACAATATAATTTATGATTTAGCTCGTTTAGAATTTGGAAAATCCACCGCGATACTTTTGTTGTGCTCGAAAATGTATTTAAATATTTTTGTGATTTAGTATGGCAGTTGACCTTCACAAGGTAATTTTTGGTAATTTGCGTGTGGTCCGCCTTTAGGAGCGGTTCGTGCGCACCACCGATGAGTAACCATAAAGCACCTCGACGCCATCCGAGTTGAAGATGCGTTCGATGCGTGGCGCACGTGTTGCCTGAGCTTTCGGCTCGGTGGTTGTAATCGGAATTTCTTCTGTGGTGGTGCTGCTGGTGGTGAGGGTGCTCAGGGTGGTGCCGTTGGTGGTTGGGGTGCTGGTGGTCGGGATACTGGTGGTGCTGCTGGTTGAGGTGCTGCTTATGGTCGTGCTGGTGGTGCTGAGTGTTGAGGTGCTGTTTATGGTCGTGCTGGTGGTGCTCGGGATGCTGGTGGTCGGGATACTGGTGGTGCTGCTTGTTGAGGTGCTGCTTATGGTCGTGCTGGTGGTGGTCGGGGTGCTGGTGGTCGGGATACTGGTGGTGCTGCTAGTTGTGCTGCTAGTGGTGCTGCTTGTGGTCGTGCTGCTGGTGATCGGGATAGTGGTAGTCGGGATGCTGGTGGCACTGCTAGTTGTGCTGCTTGTGGTGGTGCTGCTGGGGCTGCTGGTGGATGAACTGGTGGGGGTGCTGGGGCTACTGGTGGTTGTGCTTGTGGTGGTGCTGGTTGTGGAGGGGCTGCTGGTGCTGCTGCTGGTTGGTAAATCTGTTGTGGTTTCCGGTGCTTCCGTCGTTGTGCTTCTGATAATGACTGTCAGCATGGACTGCTCTTTGGGCGGTGCAATTGTAGTGTCAGGCACTGATTCAGTAGTGGCGATGGTGTTGCTCTCCGTCGCTACAGTGGCTGTAGTGACCTCTATCTGTGGCTCTGCGGTGGCGCTTAGTTCTAATTCTGGCTGCATTTGAACATGTTGAGTAACAATATCCGAATTCATACCACTGAGTAGATTCTCGTTTCTATGGTATTTAACCTCCTTAGTGACTGTCTCCAGCTGTGGATCATCGTCTGGTGCTTGCTGGGTCGTTGTCATAAAAATCAGCGTATCTGCCTCTGTGGTGGATCCCATTAGCTCTGCTGGGTTTTCCATCCATGTAGTTTGCTCCAGACGCATCGAGTCAGTACCCGCTGACATGGCCTCAAATGGAAGGGGTCCACTGGTATTGAGATCCACTTGCATTAGCGGTAGACTGGTGATCTCCTCGACATCGTCTGTTGCGGGTTCCTCGGCTAGCATGGCAGTCTTTTCTGTAGTTAATAAGAGGGCTAGATCTGGCGATAAGGCCCTTTCTATGTAGGCCTGCTGCCTCACTTCTTCCATAAGCAAATCATCTGTGTTCTGTGCAGTGTTCATCTTTTGGACTATGGCACTGTGGCTTAATTCGCTGCGGCCAACAAGCTGCTCAGTGTTTGCTGTCGCTATTGTGTCTTCTGTTGCATTTTCTGTTGTTGTTTTGATTCCTGTTGGGCTTACCTTTGTCTTTTGTGTTGTTATTGCCGATTTAGTTAATGTCTTGTTATTGGATATTAATTTCTCCGCCAAATTGGGCTCTTCGGCTGTTGTCGTTGCATTAGTCGTAGAGTTTTGCTCCCGCTCGGCCCGCTCCCGTGCCAGCTGCTGCAGCACAGAATCCGGCAATGGCTCCTCCGTAGTGGTATGCCCGTAGTCCGAAAGTTGTGTGAACGCCTGCATGCCGTCCTCAGTTGTCAGTATGACATCCGAGTCTACGGCAATGGTAACCGTGTTAGCTTCGAAGGCGCCCGCATATGTTGTCTCTTCTTCTGAAATCACATCCGGGGCAAGAGTTGTCCTGGCCGATCGGGCGAATGATTGCGTCGCCGACATCGCCAGCAGCATCAGCAGCAGCAGCAGCTGCGGCGTCGCTGCCACTGCGTTCATTGGCATGCGCGGCATTTTGGCTTGGAATGCGAGGGCAGTGTTGACAATGAATTTCTGGTCTTGCCAGCAACAACAACAACAAAGGCAGCAAGAAAAACGCGAGAAATAAAAATAAAAGACCGCCAAACAAGTCGCACGTTCACTTTGCCCCCGTTGGCCTTTTGCTCGTCTAGAGAAACTTGCTCCTGTTCCCAGCTTCGGTTCGCTCTCAACTGGTTGAATCTGATTAACTGGTTAACTGATTGTCGGCGGTCGGTTCCGCTCTGTGCCGCGATGTTGTGACTAGTTATGTTTACGGCGAGGAACTAAACCGTTTGCAGCTTCAGCTCGCGCTTATAAATCGCCAAAACAGCGCACACTTTAAAGCAGCTAGTGTACCGAGCACGGCCACCAGCTTCGGGTCGGGCCCGGCTCTGTTTTCTGGCAACTCAGCTGTGTCTGCACTGCCAACTGTTTTCTTTGCACTGGGCCTGCAAATGAACTTGAAGAATTTACAATCTTATTTTTGTTTATAGTTATTATACGTTGTTGTAGCTTGGTCATTTTTTGCACACTTGCCCCAGTTTTTGGACGGATAAAATCATCTTTTAATTACGCTTCCTGGTCAGTCAATTTCACTTTCAACGTACTCACTCACCTACCATTGATCACAAGCCGCTTGAAAACCGGCTTTTAATGCCAATATTTCTCTCATTACTCATTATTGGTCCATTATTTAATGTTTTGTTTTCTTTCAAGTCAATCTTATTGATTGTCGTTCGATTTGTTTGCGGCATTTTGAGCACCTTTTTATCAGATTTCGCCAATCTTGACAGCACTTAACAAAGTACCTAAGAGTGACTGGCTTGCATTTATTTTAATATGTATTTCTAGAAAAATGTATATATATATATATATTTTTTTTTAATAATTTAAGATTTTTTGATTACACTAAAATACTTTCGAATTTTTAAAAATTGTATATATATTTGTGTGCTATTGATATCTAGTACTAATTAGTTCATGCAATCTTTCGTTATTTTATTTTATATCTATATTAAGTTTTTGTTCTTCCATTTCTTTTTATTTTGCACATCTCCAAGCTTACAAATTTGATTTCTAGGCTCTCAAAATAATAATACAAAGCTAAGGAATAAATTCGTTTATGAAAAATAAAATTGAAATCCCTTTCAAAAGTTATGGAAAGATTTTTTGTGTATATGCACCCATGCCTGTCGTGAATCTAGAAAAAGGGTATCTCCAAGACGTGCACTGTCGACTTATTTCCTGGCTTGAAAATAATTAGGCTTCTTCCTAAACATAAACTTAAAAATACCTTACATTGCAATCGAAGGTTTCATATAGCTGTGAAATTATAGAAAATATTTTTTCTGGGAAATAGTTTCACATGTATAATTTTACGATTTTTTGTAAATCGGAATGCGTTCTGCTAAGAAATGTGACAAAGCTGAAATTGGAGTTGATACATAAAGGTAATAATGAAAAAGTTAATAAAGTTTATATGAATTAAGCAAAAAGCGGATAGGCCTGATGTCATTTGTATTTTAGTTAGAGACTCTTAATAGTTTTATTAGATTATTTTTAGCTTAGCAATCAGAACTCCCGGAACTTTATGTTTTCGCATTAACATTTTTCCTTGAGTACTTTATTTAAATTAATAATTCATTTCTTTTGCTTTTTCCTTGTTTTCTGAGTCACAATTGCTCTATTTAATTGTTTTTGCCGCATGCACATACTTTTCAATTTAGCAATAGAATTTAACAATTGTTTCCTCTTGGTATACATTTGAAATATGCTGCTTTTTTCTAATATCTGTTTATTTATATTCGATTTCATTTCGTCAAACGACGCCTATTGAAACTTGCATTTCCATTTTCAATACGGATTCCATTTCCATTTCCATTAAAAGTAATTTGTAGCAATTGCCAATGAAGCGACGATAATCGTTAAGCAATAATGCCCAAGGCGTCTAAGTTCAAAGCATGTGATTTGCGCCTAGACTGGGTCTTGTGGCTGGGGCTCGCATATTGAAAATTACATTTTGGACTGAAACAAATTTGCATACGAAGTGATGTAGCTCAATATTGGCCTACTGAATTTCCAAGCCATATAGCTGAAGCCAAAAGTGAGTAAATGCCTTAGTCCCTCGAAATCGCTTACTTCTTCCAAATGCCAATTGACGATGCGCAAGTGGCGCCTAAGGGCACTTGGTCGCAAAATTTGTATTTAAATTACATTTCGCTTGGGTAAATTGAAAATGTTTTCACTGATTCGACTGCTACTTAAATGCTCTTCCACTTTTCACTTAGCTCACAGCTCTGTTCTAATGAGTTTGTGCGTGGCGCACACTGCGTATGATTAATATTTTGTTTTTTGCTTGATGTCGTCCATCGAGAGTCCTTGCTATCAACAATTCATCATTGGCCCAAACAATGGCTGACAACTTTTGCATAAATAGCTCAAATAACGCGCAAAATTTACAAAATTCGAAAGGTATCCTTCCGGCGTCCTGTGCGCAGCCTGGCTCCTGCTTGGCGTAGCTCCTTCAGTTTTGACAAACTAATTTACTTGGCAAAGTCCTTTTGGACATTTTATAAGTCATATTTATGTTGGCTGCCAGCCAAGTGGCAAGTGTCCTGCCAGTTTTTGGCTGCTCAATTTAAGTGAGTGCTCGTTCCACTCCACCACTAGTCCACCGCCCCGCCCAAAAACAACAGACCCCCTTTGACAGCGCATTTTAATGATGCTTTTGAAGTTTTTGGCGTCGACTGAAAGGTGTTGACTGTATTTACACTGGCTGCCACCTGAGTGATGACAAATTTTGTTAGCCATTGTTGGAGCGCTTACAGGACACTTCATTAGAGGCGATTACGCGCCCAATTCTCTTGCAACTTTGCTCGTTAGTTCTTATCGCGCGACTCGTAAAAATCAACGAGTGCTGCCCGAAAGTTCAAATGCTCTTTCTCTATAAATTACATTCCATAAAGTACATTGGCCACGCCCACACACACGCCCACTGGTCAAAAACGTTTCCTGGTTTGTTTTATTTTTGGTTTGCTGAAAATTTTCCGCTGAGCTCAACAGAAACTCCAAAAAAAATGTCTCTCAATAGTTCGTTTGTATTATTATTATTATTATTATTATTGTAATGGCAACATACTTTTGTTGTGGTCGCTCTTTTGAGTATTATTATCTATGGCAATGGTCAACAATATTCTGTCGAGTTGACACAAAAAATGTTGTGTACTTTGCTGTTCAATAATATTTATGTTGTTGTTCAAGTTTTAATGGCAACTGCTGTGGTCAGTTTTTTGGTCAGATATCAGCTAATTACTGCACTCAGAAAAAAATATATATTGTCTTGATGTCAAAAGTAAAAAGATGCTTACAAACAGTGTAAAATTGTAAAATTGTATAAACTATGGAAAAGTTCCACTAAATAAGTATCTTTGGAAAAGCTTTGATATTTTTACAATCGACACCTATAATATGATAAATAGCATTCATATAATATGTCCATATGGTGTATACCATTGGGCGAGTTTTCCTTGAATTCATGAGAACCGCATAGGTAGGCGATTATTACATGAATTCATGAGAATCGCATAGTGGGGCGATATTTAACACACAGTTATCAAAAAAAGAAAAAGTGTAAGTGGTCATACATGTAGACTTACATATTGACATCTTTATACACATACACGCATATGTATGCGATATGTTGTTTTAAATGTAAAGTTAAAGAAAAACCATGCCTTAGTATTCCCTTATATCATAATTAAGGTTTAATCTTAATCTTAATCTTTCTACAACATTTTACTGAATTTGTCAAATATTTTTGTTGTTTGCGGCGAATAAAGTTGCTCAAGCTTACAGATATTACCTTCAATGGCGCTTACTCAATAGTCTTTTTTTTGTGTAGACTAATGACAATTTTCTACAAGATAATTTATGTATAAGTATTTTCGTTCTTCAAACACGTTTACTTAAAGTCAGTCTGGCTTGTGCTTTTCGTATTTGCTATTATAAACGTTGCCTAATCTCAGAATGCTGATAACATATTTTGGCTTAGATTTTGCAATTTAACTTTTACGGCTTATCTGCAGCTTTTTTTGAATAAAGTGCATAATTAATTCAACTTTATAAGCTTGGGATTAAAAACACACGCGTGGGTAAGGTAAAATAAATGTTTGAACAGTTCCACGACAACGATGCGTTCCGTATTCGCTTTTAAACAAAACAATGTGTTGCTGTCAAAGCTTTGGTGTGCGTGTGTATTGTACGTGAGTTGAATGTAATATAACCAATTGCGAAGTCAGTGAATATTCTATTAATTTATTTGTATTTATAATTAATTTTTAAAGGTGTAATTAAAAGAAAATTTAAATTTTATATAAAAAAAAAAATAAATATATTTTTATTAAATATACATTTTTTTTTTTAGAAATTTCAGACATAACGGAAACAAAATAATAAATATAGTAAGTAATAAAATAAAGCGCTTATTGGAATTTTTAATAAAAATAATATTTGGAATATTTATTGTTGTTTTTTATTAGAGGGATATAATCAGTCTAGCTGACTTTCAAAATGTAGGCGTAGATTATGCAAAATTAGAGTTTTCTTAAGAAACTGAGAAACTTTTTTACTTTGAACTGGATTCATAGAAATAAACTACCAGCCCAAAGATTGAAATACTACTGGAAGGTTTTTTGAATAATTACCATTTTACCATTTTAATCGCAAGTGTTGTGGAAAAAATGAGGAGTGAAGGGAGCCAATATATCTTATAAAAGGTCCAAATATTGGCGCACTTTACTACTCGATTTATCCTTATATTTATCCTTGGTACCCAGAATTAATTTCTTCCATGAAAAACCTTAAAAAATGCGATGCCCAGCATCAGTTGGACTTATTGGCGAACAATTGGCCGCCGCTGAAAACATTGTCCTCTTTTATATTGGCATTGATAGGCACTTGTGATACTCGTGCAACAAATTTGCCAAACAACTTCAAACTCGCAACAGTTTCTAAAAATGCAATTCAATTGCCACTTGTAAAAGTTTCCATGTTAAAGAGTAAAAATGGAACATAAAAGAGCATTATAATTGTATGAAAAATACGTTTTTTTTAACGAGCTCGGGTATTGTTAAAAGTGCATTGTTTGTGCTGGTAATTGAATTACCAGGCAATAAGGCATAAAGAAAAGAGTTGACTGGTTGACAGGGATGCCCAGGCCAGAATTTATGCGCACAATATATTAATACCTGATTAAAATGCCGCAGTTAATGTGAATCCCTTGTAATACAAATGGAACCGCTGCCGTTCGGGGAATTAACCATAAATGAGCTTAAATTGATGGGCTTTGTAATAAACCCTTAAAGTTGATCAGCGCAAAGTAAGGAAAAATAATTCTATGAATTGTGAGTAAATTCTGATACACAGCTCTGTTGCCATATGTGCAACATTCATATATTCTTGTAAATGCACTGGGGCAGCTGTAGCTATGACACCAATGAAAGTCTAGAAGCAGGGGCTGGCGCAGTAGCGGGAGCAGCACAATATCATTATATGTCAAACTAAGTCAACAAGAGCTGAAAGCCAACCCAAGGACTCGCAATATGCCACGGCAAGGACCACTAATTGACTTTAATTATTTTGTTGTACTTAATGCCATGTTTACACAGAGAAAGAGACAGAGACAGAGTTAGTAAGAGGAAGATAGAGAAGCAGAGAGCAACATAGAGTGAGCTAGAAAGAGCAGCAAATCGAAGTTGTCTGTGCCACTTGTGCAAAGCTCACAAACAGCACACAAAATGTGGGCAAAAATCTGCTAAACAAAGGGCATAGAGAGAGCGAGAGCGAGAGAGAGAAAAGGGGAGAGGCTATGTGTGCGTGACAGAGAAAACACAAAAACATGTTGACTGCAAAAGTTAGTTAAAGGCAATGTGTAAACATGTGGGCTGCAGCTTTGCCAGCTAAAACACTAATTAAACTTGTATTTGTGTCAGCTGTGCATTCTGCCATTGCGGCTGCACGTTTGTTATCCTTGTATCCTTGCATTAGCGGAAAAAAACAAAAAAAAACTGAGCTGCTCAAAAGGCAAAACATAACAAATATAATGCAAGTCGGCCTTAAAGTTTTCAACTCTTAAAATATAACAAATTTTAATTCTACATGACATTTCACTAACTTTAAATTCGAGGTATAGTATTAAAAGGCAGAAGACTTAAGACTCGCCTTACTGATAAGTGGGCGACTACGCCACATTTTGGGGGCTAGACGAGGCTATCGTTTACAGGTTTTGCTCAAACACTAGAGTTGCGACTTTTAAGGATGTGACAAGGCTAAAGATCTTTACGCGGCGTTAGATAATAATTGATTCTGATGATAGACGAAATATATTGGAGACCCTCTTCCTTAGAATATTGGCTTTTTATTGTAAAATACGCATCTGGCCATCTATCTGATCATATATCTGATGGCATGAACGTAGTTTTTATATAGTTATTAAAGCCAGAAACTTTAAGATAAAGGGCTATGATTTTGTAAACGCTTCACTTTTTAACCATGTAAATCCCGACTCTATCTCTACGGTAGTTTTCGAGCAAGAGTAATTAAATTTATAAAGATTGAGAAAGGACCCTGTGCCTAAAAAAGAATCCTTTTTATTATTTCTTATTTAACACGTAGTTTTGCGATTTATGGGAGAGCCTGCTTTAGTGGAAACTAAATGCATTTGCTATACAAATTAATATTATTTTTTTTTTATAATTTAAAATTATGCTACATCATTTATTGTAAGAATATTTTTGCACTTAATACATTTTTCAGCAGTGTTTGTTGAAAAATATAACATTTGCAATATCTTCTGACGGTTCAACTTTTTCAATTTTGGTGAGAAGCGGAAGCAATTTGTGGCGAGCAGACGCCGGATGCTGTTGTTGTTACCTGACACACAAACAGATCCCGTACCGAGCCGTAGAGTCAATATTTTTTATTTCGCTGCGACGGACTGAGTGCAGAGTTGCCAGCCCGCAGATGAAATGAACAGACTTTCGACTCTTTTTCTTTCCGCCGGTAAGCAAGGCGGCTGTTTGCGTGTTTATTTAACAACAGTGCGCGAGGTAAGTTTGCTTACTGGTTGAACGACTTCAATATTGAAAACAGTAGGTCCTGCTGCTGAGTTCCTTTGGCGACTCGCAAATGGCGCCCAGAGGACGACGACAAATGATGCCAATTCATTTGCCATGCAGCTTAAGCTTGTCGCTAAAATGCGCAACTGTGGCAGACAGGACACCAAAGTGCAGGAAGGGGTGAGGATGGGGTCCTGCAACGACTGCCTGTGGCGCCTGCCGCTGCGACGGATAAACTTTTCGCGCTGCCTGTCGAAATGAGTTGCGTTTTAAGTTGCAATTAAGCGTCAAGCTGTTTGCCCCAATGCAATATTGCCATGCGCTGGCTGAGCCAATGAGTATCCTGCGGTTTTCATCTAACAGCGGCAGCGCTCACAAGCGTCGCCACAGCCTCACACGGTGTTGCGTGCGTTTTAAAACGCGCGACAGTCGCGCATAATGTTTTGTTGCCTACTTTAAGGCTGCAATTGCGGTCGCCAGCTGCATACTTTTGAGTAAATTGTTATTATTATTAGTGACTGCGCAAACTGTTGCTCTTAATTATTTAATAATCTGCTACTCTTTTTGTTTTTATTTGCCGTAACGTAAGGAAAATACAGTAAAATGAAGCATTTCAAAAAGCATACTAAATAAGCTTTGTTCCACTAGTTTGAAAATATTTAGGTACATGCTCTTCTTGCCTTTATAATCTTACATCTCACAGCTTGGTTAAACAAAGGTATGTAAAATGTATACTCATATTCTTTATAAGCAGTGGGAGTATTTTCTCATAAACTACTGGCGTTGGTAATTTTACATTTGAAATTAAGTTATTTCTTTGGCAGTAATGAATTTATTTAAAATTATTACATTACATATTTTGGATTTTTTTTAAAGAAATTTCCGCTGTGTAGCTTAGTATGTTTTAAATAAAAATTGGTTCGACTTTGCAGATTATTTATGGGAATATTAAAGCACATAATTGCTGCGAAAGAACCAAATATTGGTCTATTATTCGCTTACATGTTATCAAACGTACCTTAACCAACGACTCAACATTTATAGTGAGAGTTAACAGCTTAGACACAGACAGACGGTCTGTCATGAGGCATAAGTAATGCACTGGAACCGTATATACTCTTACTTACTGATCTACAGTACATATTTTTATAAGAATAGCAAATAGATCTGTTTGCATACATATTAGTTTCAATAAAAATACATCCGTGGCAAAGGAATGCACTCTAAAGTCAAACTTTCCACCTATTGTACTTATTATATCTTTAATATTATATGTATGTACCTATATTTTTATAAACAGTTCAAAAAAAGATTGTTCAATTTATTAGATTCTTGTTTTCATGTTAAAAAGTTCAATTTTGCTTTAATTTTAACTTTCGGCTAATCGACAGTTGGCTTGATCATCATAAGAGCACCCGAGAAGAGAAAATCAATTTCAGTGCTGTAAGTAAAAAATCAAATTTTCAACAGTTTGACCGCATTTTAAGACATTTACTTAAAGTGTTACATATTTACCTTGCAGAGCAACTGTTAAGCCACCAACCGAGCTTGATTCTTCTTGTGCAATATGTCTTAATTACACTGTTCTGGTTGTCGGGAGTTATGAATTTTCGATTAAGGTATTCGATCATTATATCAAATTTATTTCCGGAATATTTGCCCAATGATTTTATTTGAAAATCGTCATCAATACCGCTAATAAGGAAATGACTATATCGTGCAAAGGTAGAATTCTCGAAAGTGCTAACATATAGCTCGTGATTCCGTGAGTTAGTTAATAAATGAAGTCTATCTAGGCCGATAAAAAATTCGCCGTGCAGATCGCCGAACCCCTTTCGATAGTCATTCCAGTCGTGATCGAAGCCTGAAGATAACTTTTTAGAACGAAAAATAACCATCCAACCGGAATCAAACGTGGTTGAATCACAATAGACGTAGAAGGAAGAGCTCATGACTTTTATGCTGTGAACACCTGTCGATTTACCGATGCAGCTATCCATATTTTTAGATAGGTTTTTCTCTGATTCTATGATATTGACTGCATTTGATATTGTCTTTTTTTCATTTACGGTTTTCTCGAGTTCTTCGATTTTAATTGTATTCGATTCAGTCTGCGCTTTTAAACTTGATATTTCCGCATCTCTCTTTTGAACCTTGGTGTTTAATTCGACAGTTTCGTTCCGACAGAAACTTAAGTCTTTTCCCAGCGTATCTAATTAAATGCTGTTAGTATTTTTCGTTAAATTTATATCCTGGAGCTTACCCAGTATGACCTTCCTTGACGCGAACAAATCCTCTCTGGTAAGGTAATTTTTTTTAAATTCATTGCATATTTCGAGTTGTTTTTCCAATGTTTTAATGGTCGCTTCAAGGGTTTGGATTTTATTCTTAAGTTCATCAAACTGTGTTTCTTTCGAATGAATAGAGGCAGAGTATTTCAAAAGCGGCTTCACTATGCTGTAGCAGTAGCTACTGCATTGCTCGTTCATCATCTTTGAGTTAGCGCAATGCTGAAATTAGATAGATCAGCCTAGGGTCATTCTGGATGGACAGCTTGCAGCTTGCTAACATATTAAAATTACTTACGGAATTCTCCATAATCTCACTTTTTACCGCTGCCGCTAGTATTAATGTAATAAGAAATAGCTCTAGGTATATATTCATTTTGTATTTATATATATTCATTTCGCACCGCAACTCGCAACTGACTTTGGTTCAAGCACCAACTCAATAATGAAACCTCTGAATTTTGGAAATTCACAATTTCTTAATCAGCTGTGCTCAGCGAAAGCTCAGCTTTTATTGCTTCTCACGAAGTCAATTTGGTGATTTGGCTGTTATCAGTTGTTAGTTGAATATACACATATATTCATATTAATTTGCATATAGAAAAGTGTTTGCCGTTTTTTACCGGGTGGCTTAGTTCTTCAATGCAGTTACCATCTTGTATGTATGTAAGTGCACATTAATACGGGGTTAAGGAAATTAAAAAGCAAGGAAAACAGTTTGAAACCTGCTGGATGAGCTGTTTTGCTTATCATTCGATCGAAAATTTTTAAAAGGGTTTTAAAATAATTTAAGTTGTTTCCGAACTGCTTGAAAGCTGGAAGTGGAAGCCGGATAATACAGTCAAGAATATTATTTCCATGTATAGTATCGTATGTTTATAAATTATTGAGATAGAATTCTCATGTATGTGAAACACAAAATTTCGTATCAACCTATTTGGTCCAAGAAGAAGCATGCATGATGATTTTTGGCTGTTGTTTATAGAATAGATTAATAATATACTTTGAAAGCGATGCATTTAATTGTATACACGGATAGTGTAATAGTCTAACGGATTAGATACTCTTTGAATAATTTTATAAATCGCTCAAGAAAGAGTTCATGCCTACAATGAGAACTTGTGAACACCATCGAGTATTTTACCACTTTAACTTTTGGTCAGATAATGCGAAAATTAATTTGCCTTGATTTTAATTTTTAATAAGACTATCGCATTTAGTTCCCTTTAGTCATAGCTTACTTATTGAGGTAATTCAAAACAAAGCTAAGCGCATTACCTTAAAATATATTTTATTATTAAAAATACATAAATTTGTACACATACATAAATAGAATATTTGCAGAGAGAGCAACACAGAAAGTACTTATTGATATCTGGTAAATGGAGTTTTTTGATTAGGCTCAAGAGTTCCTGTTGGATAATCGGATGAGTGGTGAGCGGGTGAATATGATATTGTTCTGGTTGGATGCTGGGCGTGCCTGAGTTGATGTAGTGGCATCTGCAGCTCCGCATGGATAGGTCGGAGGCAGACGCTGGGATTAAAGTAGTAATTGTTAAAATGTCATCACAGTCAAATGAAATTACACAAGATAGAACCTTGCCCGCTGCTCAGACAAATCACGCGTCCAATGCGGGTGTGGTTGTTGTGGCTTCCACTACATCCTCGGTGGTGGTTGCCACTTCCTCTGTTGCTGTCGTCGTCGTTGTTACTGTTGCAGCTGTTGTTGTTGTTGTTGCACTTGCAGCTGGCATCCTTAACTCTTGTTCCAGTCTATGGGGCAAGTGGACATTGGGCGGCAAAGCTGATTGAAGCGTTGTCTGCATTTGTATTTGATTCTGGAGCTGCTGACGCTGCAGCTGCATGGCCAGGAAGCTGGCCAAATTGGCCGTCAGCTTAGCCCTGTGATTCTCCACGCGTCGTATGTTTCGCACCAGACGATTGTAGACCAGCGGCTTCACATCGATGGCCCACAGAAAGTCCAAGTGGTTAAAGCGCTCCATCGGCACCAAATACTTGTCTATCACATTTGGCAACTCTCTGGCCAGTCGATCCACGCCTGTCGTCGACACGAGCAGATCATTTACTGAGTAATACAGGGCCACTGGCACTTTTACACGTGACAGATCGTAGTCTGGCGGCGTCATGCGATTGTATTCCAACTGATTCCTCAAATAGCCCCGATCGAACTTGCGAAAGTGCCCCGATTTCATCAGCTGGCCAAAGTGCTCCAGCTGCTTGATCGAGGCACCTGAGGGCGTATGACTCAGCATGACAGGCAGCATAGTCTGCAAGTAGATCGAAAATAATATTTTTGTTAATTTGGAATAGCTTAAAAATGGTTAAGTGTAACTTGCTTAACCCAAGCCCAAGACACAAATCTTTGTAAAGTTCAAATTGATTTGAATTGCATGCAGAAAAAGAACACCATAAATTAAAGTCATATGAATACAATACTAAAACGTGTTGATGTGGACCATAAAGATTCTACAACTTTTTTAATAACAAAAAAAATGCCTTTAAGTTTTTTACGAGCTGTTTTACCATGAAGTGTATATTTCCTCAGTTCCATATGTCTCTGTGGTTAACCCCTTAACGCTGACCTAATTTAAACCAACATTGCCAAGGTGTCATATTTGAGTGCGTATACGCACTATGAGCACTTGACAATTTTACCACCTCCTTGTACATGGCCCAACGCTACGCTTGCTCATACAAAGCTGGCTTGGGGAAAGGGTCATGGGTCAGAAAGACCCCTCATTTGCATGCATTGCCGCTTATTTGGGCTGTTCACCGTGTTCAGCTCGCCTGTGTCAGTTAATTTCGCTCATTTTGCCCCAGGCACAACAACTACTATAATAGCAATGACAGGGAGAAGTGTCGGCTCCCAATGGCATTATTATTAATTACACCACACACTATACACCTGCTGTTCATGTTTTGCATGTAATTTAAGCCTCGCGCGCTCCATTTTGTGGGTCATAACTTCAAATCTGAGGATGTTCAATTCGCGGTTGGTTTTAGTCAAGGAGCACAGTTTTGCATTGGGGTAAGTTAATCAAGCGGCTGATAAAGAGAGTATAATATCTTTTATAGGCTCTGTGTAGGGAATTTAGCCATTCAAAGCTGGTATATAAAAAGAAACAAAGACTGATAGTACATAAGTTGATTCGGCAATATGAGAATCTTTCAATTAAGGCTTGTTTTTTGAAAGAGTTTGAGGTAGTTCGTCCTTTGAAATCTTCTGTAATAGCTTCAAATTAACATTTTCATTTAAATAACTCCAAATATTATCCAACATTCTTCAGACTCTACACGCTTTAATTGTTAGAAGCCCTACAGTTGCCCAGCTGTAATTGAGCTCCAAATAAATCCTACCGTGCTCTCCCTATCACACTTAATCACATCGATAGAAAACCCATTCAAAGAACCGCAATGGGCAGGCAAATGAAGTGCGAACTTAATGAAGACAATCGTATCGGTCCCAAAAAGAACAACAACATCAGCAACAGAGTATCGAATGTGAAAATGGAAAATTCAAATCAATGCCCGCAAACATTTTGGGGAAAAACATGGAAAAATGTGAGGGCATGAGTGCTGGGGCGCCAGCCGGGAGCCACATTACCTTGTTGAGCTGTTCGGAATTGTAGCCAGCGACCAAAAACAGGATATTCGAGCAGACATCCTGCGTCATGGCATTGTCGTGGCACACAACCTGACTGTGGTCCACTAGGAATTTCGTGTTGGGCATGAATTCGGTGATGCGCAGCATTCGCGTTGCGGCCTGTAAAATAAGACCGCAAAGAAAAAAAAACAGAAATCGGAAAACAGGTTAAATCGAATTAAGGGAATGCACAATATTCGCAATTTACCGTTAGGAAATCCAGAAACAATACAAGAGTGCGAAACAGGGGACTCTTCATATCGTGTATGTAGGCAATGGGCGCCAGTGCGTGCATTGAGGTGATTTTCTGCGAGTAGGCGGGCTGCTCGGAGCAGAGCACCCAAAATATGGCCGTGCCCTGAGAGTGGCCAATATAATGAAGCTGGTCGTAGCCCGTTTTGCTCAGTATATAATCAATATTTGCGGGCAGATCATATTTGCCCATCTCATGGAACGTAAAGTCCCAGAATTCCTGATAGTCGCTGTTCAGGCTGGTGTGATTCTTCGAGTAGCGATTGCCACGCGAATTGCCCATCCACACATCGTAGCCCAGATCGGAGAGCATGTAGCCTGCAAAATAAGCCCAATTATATAGTCAGCAGCATATACATTATATACTATCTATTAATGTACTTACCCAGGCCCGACTTGGGCCCCATCAGCACCCAGGTCGCTGATGTATCCAGTATGCCGTGCATCAGGAGCACCGGCTGCGCTCCCTTCTTTGGTATACGATGCATTTCCAGTATATATCCATCCTTGGTAACCACTGTATGCGTCTCCGATGGATAACCGTATTTGCGTATTAATTTCGGCTGTTGAAAGAGACCGCCAGCAAAAAAAGGGAATAAAAAACAAGCAAGAGAAATTCCATTAGAATCGCAAGTGCAAATCATGGCAGTGTGAAATTGAGTTGCTGCCGCCCCGACCCGCCCCGCCCCGCTCTGAAATGTCCGATTCTCTTTCCCCTTTAAAACTGCCTGCTTTTCCAATTTGCATAACTCTGCGGCCCAGGTGGAGCTGCCTCGGTTGCCAGCAGCGACATCGTCTGGGCCCTAACCACAGCAATTTCGGCTAATGAATTTTAATTTATAGCATCAACAAGTTAAACAAGCTGCAGACTATTGCAACACTCCTGCCGCCCCTGTGGTCCTGCTACAGGAAAGCCTCGCTGAGTAATTTGTTATGCTCAGGCATTTTATGAGCAGTAAAGGATAAAATAGAGAATTTTGGACACAGATTTGCAAGCAAATGAAACCAAATACAAATATTAAGAAATGTACCGCTTAAGTCAAGGAAATTAAATGCCGGAGGACTAAAGATTGTTTTCATTGAAGTCTATCATAAAGGATAACGTGAAAATCATGATAATAGAAGGGTTCCGAATGCAAAAAAAATTTTTAAATTATCATGAGCTGTCTGCAATTAAGGTGACCATGGAGGACAGCATTATTTTCATTACCAAAGAGAAACTATTGAGAATGCAAAGATTATGGGATAACAATGAGGATTTAGTATTAGAGGACTGAACTTTGAAGAGTAGGCACATATTTAAAGCACACAAGTGAACGTAAACTGACCATGAGGTGGATTTGTAAACATATATAATTAAAGAAAAAAACTGAATTATACTGACAATAATCGTTAATAAGCCTTGACCATTGAGAACGTGAAGGTTATGGGCACACAATGGGACAATAATTGTGATGATAATGGAATAAGATTGAAAAATTGTCTCAACTTTAAGGGAAAATCATTTTTAAATTTGACTTGGTATATAAGCGACATGTACTAAGTATTAAAAGCACCTTGAAGGAGACGTGGCTCATAAATAAAAGAAAAGTAAGAAGTAAATTACTGACTGGATGATGAAGTCTAAGAGCAGCTAAGTCCATTTAGCAGCTAGCCATGCAGTTTATTGGTCCTGTGCGAATGCCTGTTTATATGTTTATTGGATAGCACATTTGAAATTCATTCAAATACATTCTGGAAATGTTTCCTTTAAGAGCTAATTACTTTTCTTAACTATTTGGATGGGCAAGTGCTGTGTCGCATCAAAACGGTGCCGCCGCGGCGTCGCGCATGCCAATAAAAAATTTCTTTATTAACACCCGAATGCAAATGAAGAGCTTGAATGACTAATCATAATTTATTTGATCAATCTGAAGCTATAAGACATAATAAATATCGGTATTCCGAAATAGAATTTCAGCTGATGTGACGCAGCTCGCAGGGGAGTCACGTATTACGCATACGCCGCGTATGACAGCATACCCCTCTTTTTCCGGCTGTGCATAATGTTTATAGATTTTTAATGTTTCGTGATAATTTTGATAAGTCTTTCAAGAGTTATACAATCGTTGGTGTCGATGCCAAAATAATTGTTGGCTTATAAAACAATAGTTGAAAATTGTATATGCACGCGATTACATAAAACCCAGATACAGAGAGAGAGAGAGAGGGACGGAGAGAGAGAGAGAATGATAGGGAGATGCCTTAAAAAACACAGTTGATGTTGTTTGGCATTTTAATTAACCTTGGCAGCGAATCGGAATGGCCACAGCTGAGCAGCAGCTGAGCGGCAACAACAACAAAACGTTCATTTAATGAGTATTAACAATTGCATTGGCCAACTGACTTTGCCGGCTGGTTGGCCAACACGAGGAAGTGGTACCGCGAACTGAGCCACTGAAATATTTCTTTCCTTTTTCACGCTTTTGCCAATGTTTAGGCATAAATTTGAGGTGTGTTGTTTTATTTTGTATTTTTATTTATTTTTTTTTTTTTTTTTGGCGATTTCCTAGCGCATTTGTTATGTAATTTCTTTTGTCTTCTCTTTGAAATGCAAAGAATAAAAGGCCAGAGCTATGCCGTTTCAACAGCTGTCCTCACTTTCAGCTTTTGTTTTTCTTGGCAAATAACCGCTTGACACACTTTTCATGCCGGCCAAAATGGCACAGCCAATATTTGTTTAAGCCACAAGGCGCTGGTAAAGTTGTTAAAATTCGAAAAAAGACGAGACGCTGCCAAGTTGCAGTCGCATCTCACAAGCAGCAGCTGTTGGTATTCCCCGCCCCTTTAGTTGTGGCACATACTAGTGTTGTGAAACGCTGTTGAAATCTACGCAAAATGTGCATATATTTTATTTTCTGCCTACAGATAAACATTCGCAAATTGCACGGCATAAATTTTATTGTATAAGCATCTGTACTTGGGCTCTATGGTTGGCCAATTTTGTTAGAAATTATAAAGCACTTAAGCACTTTTATCAAGGCAAAGACTTAAAGCTTCGTTTGTTAAAGTCACAATTAATTGGGCAGAGAAAAAATGAGTTGGTTTAACATTAAGCTTTTTCACATTTGCCTTCAAAGTATCTTAAAAATACTAATGTGTGAGTCCTTTATAATATAACATTGCTACAAACATTTAACAATTACAGGGTACATACTAAGGGTTCACTGTACGAGACTAGATAATCCAGACTAATATGCAATGTACGCAACTTTAACTTAAGTGTTAAATGTATTTTGCATCAAATATAAGTACCATAATTAAATTTATTTTAGGAAATCAATTTGAATGCTTTATATTTAATTCATTTTCAATTTTAAGGACTTAAATTTCTTTAACTTAAGAAAAATAATATAGCTTTTAGCATGCAGTTCACACTTATATACTTTTATTTGATTATCAGTTAAGCTATAGTATTATGAAGCCTCAACAGTTTCACAAAAGCTTTAACTTTGACTAAAAACTGTTTTGCATAACTACATCAGATGTTAATTAAAATATTTTATTAGCATTTAACTCCAACTTACTGACATTACTACATCCCACCTCCAAGCTGCCCGCTTGCACCGGCAAATTAAAAGTTTTTATCACGCATCAACAAATAACCAGCAAATAATACAAACTAACTTCCAATAGCGAGTGCTGTACAAATATTGCACAAAACAAAAAAAAATAAAATTTAAATATTTAGTTTTTACTCAACTTAAAAGCTACAAACTATAACGAAATACAGGAAAAAAGAAGAGAAGGCTTAGTAAATAAATAAATCAGCAGATCCATAAATGTGGCAAAACTGTAATTAAATGAATGAGAGTAGGTTGTAAACAGGTAGATAAATAAACCGGGACCTATGTCAATCCGAATATATTTTGTCTACTTTTTGGGTTGTTTGTTTGGCATTTACCGTTCCGCTAACTGAGCATATATTTTAGGCAAAAATCCATCTTCATTAGCACCTTAAACATAATTTTCGTCTCGCATCTTTTGGATCGCATCATGACCCACTAAACGTTGCGTTTGTTGGTTTGTGTCCATGCTAATTATGCTAAATGTGTATGTGAGCTGGACTTTAAGGCGTGCCTTTGTTTATATACGCATTCGTATTGTTGTTGTTGCTATCTTTATTGTTGACATCTGCTTTTTTGTAATGTCAATGCAAATTTTTGTACATATTTTGTATTTGCTGATGGTTTTTATGGACTGCGCTCATTTACATAAAGCACTTTTGATTTCTCGTGCTGCGCCACAAGGGAACCGCACCACTTTTGGTTTCGATCAATATCGATCTTCACATCGCCCATTTTGTAACCGACCTTGATATTGACATCTCTTTTCGTGTCGTCGCGCACTTCGGCACGATCATAACAATCATAATAATCACCATTATATTTGACCGGCAGCTATTCGAAACGTCTCGGCGATATCTCAACCAGTTTTTCTATATGCATGTGTATTTCTTTATATGCTATTTGTATTTCTGGTCTTGGCTTTGCCATGGTTTTGCATTTATTATGCGTTTGTTGGCCTGACATCAATTTAATGACATCAAAACACAAAGGTTAATCACATTTGAACTTTTGTTTTATGCCGATCAATCGGGCTGAATATTATTAATGTAGAGCAGACTGTTAATTCAATGCATCGCTTATCAAATGCAAAACAACAGTTAAATATCTCCCATCATCTTTTGATTAAATTTTAAGTTATATTTTCAAATCTATCTGGCTAGTTTCCTGAAATGACGTCAAGGACTTTTGTAGATTACTTTATTTTCTTGTTTCGCTAGATTTATATATTAGTTATTTAAGTTGTACGCTTACTTAATAGCATAATTATAGCTTTTAAATAAAAGTTGAAATATGCTAAGAATTTGCCAATCGCAGAGAAGCCCCTACAAACTAATTTTCTATTTTTAAAAATGTTCATTATTATAAAAAATAGTTCCCTGTACAGAACTTTTAAATGAAGCTCTATAGTGAGCTACAAAACGCACATTTAAGCTGAAAACTTATTACACCTAGGGTCAAAGGTACCTTAATCTGTTCGTGTGCTCCTATATTCCGGTCGCCATTTCAGACACATTTCACCTGTCCATTTGTCAAACAACGTAATCAACTTGATGACAACAATTTACAAATCTGTTTGCCTTTGGCATGCAAAAACTATGCGGAAACTCTTCAAATTCAAATTAAGGCACTGCCAAAACCTAAAAACAAGAAGAAAAAAAAAACAAACAAAAACTAAAGCTACAAGCTAAACAAAGGCAGCAAAGGCAAAGTAAACCAAACCTTACAAGGAAAAAAATTATATATATAATAGAAACGATTGAGAGAAAAAAAGTATTGCAATAGCATTTCCTTATTGTTGTGATGTGTAGTGCTGGCTTTCTTTAAGCGACAAAAGACAAACCAGATGCATGGGCCTAGCATTGTCCCAGAGCTCCAGAGATCTCAAATCGTTGGCTGGGCATGCCAAGTGTTAGGCACGTGAGACGAAGGCTCCTAACCCATATTTCAAAGTCAGTCAGCCAGTCGACGGGTTAGCCTAATTGCATGTTGATTATTGTGTACGTGTGCGTGTGAGTGAGTGTATGTGTATGTGTATGCGTATGTGTGTGTGTTGACAATTGACAATTTGTTATTGCTGCTATTAAAGGTGTCTCTCCCTCAGCACTCTCCCGCCTGTTCAGTCTTCTCCCCGGTCGACGATTATGCAATTGGCAACGTGCAGAAATTGTTGAAGAGTTTGTTGGGCTTTGCTTTTTGGTTCGCTTAGTTTGTTGGCCACATTTGTAAGCCCAGCCATGACTTTGCATAAGATTCAGTTTCGGTTTCAGTTTCAGTCTGTCAGACTTTATAATATCGTTACCCGGTTGACAATGCTCGTATATCTCTCTGTCAGGTTTAAGACGCACGTAAATCGCATAATGCACGTTACGTTATCACGTAACTACCAGCACCCGCACCCCCATCCACCAGCCACCCATGTACACTCGTCTTCTTCTATTTGGTAAGTTGTTATTGTTGTTGTTTGGCGACTTGTTAATAATCATTTTTTGTAGTCGAGTTTATTGGCTTTGTCAATTTTCGCTTGCTTGTCATTATTGTGCATTATTGATTTTAATGGCAAGACTAACCCCACCTTTAAAGCGTATGTGGTAATCCTCTCTAATGTTTGCTCTTCAAATTTTGTCTTTTACCCTTGATGGGTAGCTGCCAAAAAAATTATTGTGTGCATATTTTAAGGCAGGTCTTTTTTATTTTTCAAGGGTTTTTCAATTTTCATGAAATGCAAATTTTGGTTTTATTTTGATGTGACCTTAGAAAAACCAACGTCAACTGCATTTATAATAATAATGATGTGAACGTAAAACGAATTTAATTGATCTAATTGTAGCCACGTGAACTGGGCCAACTAACGGCCCAGCTAGGGCTCCAAGGTCGTCAGCCGCACATATTTTTTACATTTTATAATCATGTGATAGCAAACATGATAACATTTATAAAATTGTATTTTATGTAAATTGAATTTGATTTGTAATAATATTCATTTAATCAGGTGTGTTTGATCTTGAACATTTAATACAGTATTCTTACAAGTTAACTAACAAGTAATGTAAAGAATTTTTTCTTTACTTATTAAGTTTCATTTAAATAATTTGCAGTTTTTTCCCTAATAAGTTAAGTTTAACTAATAGTTAAAAATTTAACGATTTTTGTTATGATATGTGTAATATGTTAATTGTGTTTAATTGTTTAATAGAATGAGAAAGCCGATAGATATATTTCAAATATGAATTCTTCAGTGTATAACAAATTACTAGTATTTAAATAATAAAGTCTTATCTGAATTATACACACTTTTATTACTATAGCTCTTACCTCAGCTTCTGTTTATTTTCGAATTCAAGGAAATGCATTTGTTTGCCACCGCTCTTCGGTCACTGATTTGTGTGCTGATTAGAGCCTTAGTAAAAATTAGCGGCAACGCCATAAAAAGCGAACAATAAATCGCACTATTCGAAATATATAAAAAAAAAGTCGCAAAGTCTGCGGCTGATGTTTTTCGCACACGTCAGTTGACCATAAAAAGAGTCCACACTAAAATCACACTCGAAATAAACTAAGCAAGACCCGAAGAACTTGCAACGGGCATTGCATGTGACGAACAAATAGAGGGCAACTTCTTCACGTGCTTCGAAATGATTAGAGCGACCTCCGGCAGCGCCGCCAATAATAAAGTTCTGCCACTAAAAAGTTGGGGAACAACTGGGCGCAACCGAAGTCAACGAACTGCAGAAACTGAGGAAACTTTCTTTCGAACGGAAAGTGTGAAGACAAAAAATAAGTGTAAATTTATTTAACATAGAAAATTTGTTCAACCGAAATCATAAATAAAAATATTAAGCTGGTGGCGGGTAAAAACTGGGGCCACAAAGCGCACTGAGAAAAGCTGAACCGGTAACAGCAAATGTAACAAAGGTACCAACAACAGCAACAACAACTGTAACAACAATAACAAATGTCAATGCCAACAACTTTAATTTTCGGTTTGCTTGAAGTTCGCCCTGTTTGCCACACCGTGTCTTTTCTTCATTCACCCCGGTTGCTTGGCGGTGGGTTACTTACCGTTATCAGCGAGGCATCTTCCAGCACATCGGACTTGAGATTGCGTCCGCCGCCAGCCAAATTGGCATTGCTGGAGAGTAGGACGCTGTTTAGCAGATTCTTGAAGCTCAGCGAGGTGTAGCTAAAGGGCGAGAGTATTGTGAAGGCGCCGGCGCTGCCGCAGACCAGCAGTGCCACCAGGCTGTGCAACAGCAGCGCCGTTGGCCATGAGCCAAAACCGCAGACGCGACACTTTGCCCACATCTGGCAGAGTCACAAGGAGAGAGGAAAAGAGACAGAAAGAAGGAGAAAGAATGCGAGAGAGAGAGAGGGAGAGACTCTCACACACACACACACGCACTACACTCACTCGACAAATTGGCAATGCAACAGTTGCTTGCACCTAAGCGTAACGATTACGTCGCTTTATAGCTTATATACCCCCTTAACCGCGACCGAAAATCGAAATTTCACTTGCAACACTTTTTTTTAATTTTATATTTAGGTACGTTTGTGCCAGCTGCCACTTGTTGCATGGGGCATCCTTAGCGCAGGCAAGGATTAATTCGTAATTGTTTTCGTATTATATAGTCTAGTATTTAAAATACGATCGCTCTATAAGTTGGCTAGAAGCGCACGCGCTTTGGACGCTACGGACAGGTTTCACTTGCCAACCGATTCGCTGGAGCTTCGTTACTCAACTGACTCAAAGCGTTGCCCACGACTCGACAGACAGCCCGAGCATGAGCCGGGCCAGCACTGCGGCAAGTTCGATGCAAACTTGTTGCAGCTTGAAGCCTACTGATCAACCATGTTGATCAATGCTCTTGTACGCTGACTGATGACTGCTAATTAAATGTGGGTACTCAAGTACTCAAGTAATTAAAGCTACTTATATCTGGCGAAAAAATAATATTGTTAAGCTATCTAATATACGTTTTATTTATTTTTTTTTTATAAAATTATGTAGGCTCCTAAATGAAAAGAGTGTTTTATGCCTGTTATTTTGGATCAAAATAATTATAAATAAAATTGTTAACACGATTTGTAATATAAAATAAGATGTTTAAAGAGCCAGTGTAATAATTAAATAATAATTCAAAATTATTACCTTTATTGTGAAACAAATTAAAAATCTAAAGTACGAAAAGGTTTGCTTGTCTCATTTATATTTAATGTGTATTAAAAAAGTTTCCTTTCATTTAATTGCTTTGGTTTTTTTTAATAAAATTTCATTTACTTCATGGTTAGCTATAAGGTTCATGATCTAGAGCTGACGAATACCCCGCAGCTGACCTAGCTCAAGGAATTAGCCCCATTGAATCATATTAATTTTGGTTCCAACATGTTCGACGCCCCCATGGGACGTACACGAGCAGTCCGCTGGTTGGTTTATCTTTCCAGCTGCCAAACACAGATCTATTATATTATCAAGTTGTACGTTTGTTTTGTCTGCTGGCGACGTGACGTTTGTTGTTGTTACTTTTTTCTTTTTGAGTGCAGCGCGTGCCAAGCAAGTTTTTTGCCTAAGTCTTTCGTTTTTCGCACTCAGCTCGCTTCGTGTGGGCTTTTTCGGTTCGTGCCGTTAGTCGTTAATACGTTGAATGTGGTTGTTATTGTTTTTGTTGCTGCTGCATTTGTTGTTGCTGGTGTACCTGTCATTGTCTTTGTTGTTGTTGTCTTACTGACTCGGTTTCAGCTTTTGGTGTTACGTCTGCTGGCCCCACCACCGCTGCCAAGGTAATTGCATTTGCACAAACCTCGAGCTCCTCATCCACGGTCCGCCCCACTGCTCCCCAAATCTAAAAGCATTAACTACCAGCTGGCAGCGCTGGATTTCTGCATTGGGATTCCGCTGGAGTTTACTTTTGGGGTAGGCAGCTGGTTACGTTTACATTTTGAAAATACGAGCGAAATGTTGATTTCAGACGCTTTCGTTATGATATTTTGTGTCTGTCGCATCGTTTCATGTCTCAAGATTGGGCTGGGTATTTCTGCTGCGGCATCCAATTGTTTTGATTACGAGCTATTATGCATGTGGATTTATCGGAGCATCTGGGCGACGCACTGCCTATATAATTGTTGTCATTGCACGCAAAAATTGCCACAGATTTGGCAACAATCATCATCATCATCATCATCATTATTATTATCATGATTTCCCGGTTATAATCTGTTGTTGCTATTGTTGTTGCCCTTGGCCTGGGCCAATTTGTCAGGGCTGCACTCAGCCGAGTCTCAGTCTGAGTCGGAGTCTGAGTCTGAGTCAGAGTCTGAGTGCCGTTCAATGACAGGTAACATAAACATTGATCATAAAATTCAATCACCATTTTTACATGAATTCTTACAACATCTACAGGCAGCAAATTGCGTATACGCCCCAAGGCAATGCAAAATTGCATATTGACTGCTTACAGATCCACTTACCCATACTCACAGAATGGTCATTGTCTTCTTGCTCTTGCACTCGATTCACGCTAAGAATGTCATGAACACGTGCCTCCTCCTCCGATTTGGGGCCAGGAGCAGGGTCGGCCACTGAGACGGAATTGCAACTGTGGCGGCAAATGTTGAAACGCTTCTCTGCCCAATGTGTAGTTGGCTTAATTGTTGTTGCTACAATTGCATTTACTGTAATTAAGTCGAGTGTTTACCTGCCGCAACCGCTCTGATACCCTGTAATTACAAAATTTGTATTGCGCTTATAATGGAATAAATTTATTTAAAATGCAATTGCAAGCGTTTTCAGTCCAATTAGCCAAATCAAATGCTTACAGAAAGAAACAAAGTGGCATGCGACTTGGCATATGCCACACATCGCTGCTTTAAGTTTGGTCTACGTAAAATGTTATTTTTTGATATGGAATAAACAATTTATCACTCAAATAAGCTTAGTTTTCATTTATCTTTTTAATTTTATTATTATTAAGAGATCACTTTCGAGCTCTAGTATTCGTAACAGAATGTTTACTTCGCTGAATAAATATTCAATATTATACATTAACTTATTGCTTGTTTTTACTTAGTTGCTTATTGGCCTTAAATAACTCTTTACAGGGTATGTGCAAGTCGCGCAGATCATTTGGTAAGCTTTGCTGGGATTCTTGCAACATTTTACGCAGCAAGTTTTGGCGTCAAAATTGCCAATATCTAAAACAAGAAAACTGCCGGCAGTTGTACGTTTTTTTTTTTTTTTGGGCACAACCAAAACTGCTGCAATTTAATGCCACGGCTCAAGGTCAGAAGGCGTAAGTGTTTGCTGTTGTTGTTGTTGCTGCTGTTGTTGTAACTGATTTATTGCCTGTTGCTGTGGCAACTTTTGACTGTGTTGCTTTTGTTAACTGTCTGTTTATTTTTTGTTTTCAGGCTTAAATGCAGCGTGACACTGAAATTATTTGTAAGAGTGAGTGTGTGAAAGAGATTGAGAGAGAGAGGGCTTGGCTTGCGGGGGCACGCAGAGTGCAAGTTTTTGTTGAAGTTGTTGTTTTGCTTGCGACTCTTGACACGCAGATACTGCCAACGATTCGTCTCTTGGCCTTGTCAGGATGTGCTTAACTCTGCGGTTTTTTGTTTGCCTCTTTTTAGCTGACATATTTTTTGGTTGGGTGCCTCATTTCCATATCCAATGTTTGTTTAAGTATCAATGTGGTTTCAGTGTCAAAATTGACAAGCTGGACAGCCCTTTGATGCCGCTGACTTTTTTATACGAGCCAAAAAAAGAGGCAAAAAGTGCGAATGTAAATAAATATGTATGCATGACAATATAAATAACTTCAATTTCAAAACTCTTGCTTAAATAAATAATATTAGAAAAAATCTTTCAAGAAATATACCAACCATCTCTGACATCTGACAGTAAATAATTACATTTTATTATTATTTATTAAAGTGCATTTTAAATCCGTTTATCTCAAAATAGTTTTTTGAGCAAAAAATGATTATAAAAACTATTAGAGCAATGATAAATTATTCCGTAAATATTTCAAGCATAGCTTATTCAATATAACTAACATGTTTAATTTATTAAAATCTCGTATTCTAATAAGATTTATATAAACCAACTAAACTCCCCAAATTCGGCAATTGAGACCCTTTCGCTTAATTGTTGAAGCAGAAAGCTGCCAATTATTACTTGCGGCATGCCAAATGCTACACCTCAAATTCCACACCCTTCCACTTCACCCCTCCAAAATGGCGAAGTGGGAATATCATCAGCATCTTACTCTGCTCCATAAGAGGCGTCATTTATTGCTTTGGCGGGCTCTTAAACGTCATTTAATTGCCACACTTGCCACATGCTGCGCCTACGCCAACCAACCAAAGACTATAATCAAGCAGCAAGACTCACAACAACAACAACAACAGCAACAACAATTATTGGGGGCTTGTGTGTGTGTGGCTTGCGGCTGCGTAATGCGGTAGTTGTTGTGTTTACAATTTCTGTGGCTTTATTGTTTACTAAAAGTGAAATGATATGATGATTGTTGTGCGGCGCGAGTTGTGACATGTGAGCCAACGACAGCCTCCACTGCGTATACTTAATAATGATTATATAAAGAAAACGTTTCTAAGACTGCGCTAAGAAACTTCGCGAATACTTGACTTATTGCTGTTGCATTAACTGCCATCAATATTTGGTAAGAAATTCCAAGCGCAATCTAGTGCCAGTTACAGCCACAGAAATGCCAATAAGCGTGCCTCTTCCATCTCCCAACTCCCATCTTCCATCTGCAAATTTCGCTCACCCGCTCTCTGTCTGTCTCTAACAATTTGCAATACTCTCTGGCAAGTGTTATATAATCATCCAGCCTAGCCGGCGCCGCATTTTTCTTTTCGTGATTCAACCGCAAGCCAAAAAAATCTGCTAATGGTGCAGTAGGCGACATCGAAAGCGGTTTTCGATACCATTTTATATGGGGTATTACAGCTTGGTCTTCCGATTTGTGCAAAGTCTATCAACACATTTTTTAAGTAACATATAAAGACTGATTATTATAAAGATAATATTAAATATAGAATTATATGCGCTGAATTAGGTGCCATAACTATCCAAAGACATTTTAAGACGATCAGGTATTACTCGGCTTTGCCAGGTTCAATTATTTTTCCTTAATCAAATTGACTTTTTCACACTTTTTTCGTATAAAGCTTTATAAAAGCAAATTGAAATATTCCATTTGAAAATTGAACTGGTTAAAATCTGGCTAAAGGAGAATTATTCATGCCGAGACAGGAACAGAAAATTTGAATTTGTCCAGCTCGTAACTTTTAGATTAACAAGAGAAGTTCTTAAAGTTAATAAAGCTTAATTTAATGATTAATTTTTTAATTGAACTCGTATTATTTATTTATAATATAATTTGTTTGATATGCAAGAGTATTCATATTTTTATTTTTATAATTTTTTTTACGAATCGACTTTTTTTTGGGCTTAATGAAAAAACTACAGGCGAAGAAAAAGCACGAGACAAGAAACGGCAGCTGAGCCGGTGGCGTTGTTTATGTATTTGGTTTTCCATGCAACAGCAACAATGACAACAACATCACGAACGTGGCTTGCCACAACAACACAGAAACAAAAACAGTAAAAAGGCAGCAACTAAAACAACAACAACAAAAAATGCTATACAAGATTTGTCATTCAAAGCGCTTGCCAAAAGCAACAACAAAATGTTGGTAAATGTGTCATGGAGGCGATTCATTTTGTTATTGTTGTTGTTGTATTTTCTGCTGCTTGTGGCGCGCTCTGTTCCTGTTTACATTTGTTGCAATATAAGCAAAACATTAAACACATTTTTCGAGCCAGTTTTAGTCATGTTTGCTCTTGTTGTTGTTGCTTCGATACGTTCAATTGACATATATCCCAAAAGGCTGTTTATTTGCGATAGTTGTTGTTGTTGTCGTATGTTGCTCCCATTGGATTTGTTATGTTTATATTTATGCTTGTATTTGTATTGATATTTGTTTTATGTTTAGCTCTTACGGCTGCAACAACTGGCGGATTCTAATCAGCGTCTTAGTTAAGTTTTTCTCTCTGTTTTCATTTTGCCTTTTTATTTTTTTCCTTTTTACTTCACTGTTTTGATGAGGCTGCAGAAATGTGTGGGAGGCACCCAGATTTCACTCAGCAGTGGTTAAATGGAATGATGAATGTAATTTTGTTTATGGCGATTGGCGCTGGACAAGGTGAATAGACGAAAATTGTGCTTTAACCTACTTCGATTCGGTAAATGGTTTTAGGTTTAAGTTTGTGATTTGCATAAAACTTTATTAAAAAACGTATTATTATTAGGTACTTTCTTAAACAGATAGCTTTGGTAACTTTTGGAAGTGACAACTTAACTGATTTTAAGCAGCCAGTGGGGGATCACTGTGTTTAATTTGAAATGTTAGGATTTCAGGTGGCTGCTTTTAGGCCTTTCTGCAGATGTAAACTTGTTACGCTGGGCTCATAAGTCGAACACACATTAACGAGCTCAAGATACATCTCTCAACAATCTCTGTACCTGAATTACGAATGCCAAAATATGCCGCAATGCATAATGATTATATATAAGTATTACCTGATTATATAATTTACCTGATTACCTTAAGCGTGCCTTATACCAAGCCCCTAAAACTTTAAAATTTATGCCCCAGTCAAATTCTAATGGCCCACAAACCGTTTTCAACGACCTGCTCGAGCTGCTGCCGAAATTGTGAATACTATAATGTTAAACTCTTTAACGCAATTGGGCAGTCCAAACACGTTTATGTGACATAGAAAACACTAACAGCAACAACAGCAACAATAACAAAAATAAACATTGCCAAGACGTAACAATTAAAAACGCTAAAAGCATTTTATATAATATTTCGCATAATGCGGCATAAATGCAAAGCAATTCACACGCCTCAAACTTTTTAGGAGCCCGGGCACACACCCTAGCTGGCTGAGAGTTGTATATAAATATAATTTATATATGTATATGCATATATATTATACGCTCATAATTGTCACAAGTGCTATAAACACGGCGTGTATGCAGTGAGAGCTGAAAAGAAATGTTTATTAGACAAGTTCGGACAGTCGCCGGCTTGCCCGGTTCCACATAATACGTCATATACTGAGTAATAATAAAAAATATAAAATAAAATCATGATAAAAAAAGCTCAGAAGCGTTTCCCATTTGCAGCAAGCCCACATTAGCAACGCCATAAAAATTAGCTGAAAATTATGCCCGAGTGAATGTTGTGCCAAAATTATGTTAATTATTTACACAAATGCAAGCTGCACTTGTATCTGCGTATATGTATCTAGGCGCGAGTATCTGTGTGTCTGTGGGGGCCATGCAAATGAGCATTTTGTGGCATGCGGCGCCTGAAGGATGTGTTTTGGTTTGCCACGCATAAATTTTCTTCGGCCTGAGCGCGTCAAGCGACCATTTTGCCAAAATGCTAAAAACAATTTTATTGAGCGAAATGTGCGCAAACCGAGGGTAGCCCGGGAGCACAACCACAGAGTTGCATAATTAATTTGTTTACACAGTTGTAAACAAACTCAGCGCTCAACGTTTGTATTTTGGGACGACGCAAGGACGAGTTGCTAATAGGAATACATTTAAATGCAAATGCAAAATTCCATACACGCATATAAGTACCTGAGCGTTTGTTTAAGAGCGCGAATTACACTGCATTTCAAAATTAACTTTATAATAGGGACGGCAAATACTGCTTTGACTCTAAATAGTAACCAATCTAAATACTAATCAAATACATTTAAAATTATAGAAAACACTCAAGAATAACTACCTTTACATTAGACAAATGCTAATGCAATCCCTTATTCAATTGCTTACATTATTGATGGTAAATTTTAACCCTAGCCTAGTCCTTTAGCAGATCCATAAGCATGAATCAAATGGAAACGCATTAGCATTCGTCGAGTGCTATTCACAATGCCCGACAATGGCTATATCATTAACTATATCATCGATAAAATGTCATTTCCCGTCCATTTATTTATTTTGCGACACTTTTCCTTTTTTTGCCACATGCATTTTTCCAATTTTTGTCCGCTCTGGTTGTTGGGAATGGCGTTGCAGTTGGTGTTGCTGCTGACTGTTTATACATTTCCTGGCTGCACAACAACAACGGCAGCTACAACAATGGCATCAAATGTTTTACAGCAGATAAGAAGTTTAATTTATGCGAAAACATGTTTTGAGCTCCCCCCAGAAGCGACAGCCAGACGACCAGATAAACAAACATCTATATGTATATATATATGCAGCTGGCTGCAGCTGACTAGGCTTCATGTGCCACGCCCACAATTTCACACGCTTGCCACTTGCTATTGACCTTCATTGGACATGTGCAACATTATTTTTTCTTCACACTCGCCCGAAACGTGGTCATAAATTTTTCGAGTCGCTTCCGTTTTTGCGGTTTGTCGAAGCGCTGAAAATGTTCTTGTTGTTGTTGTTGTTTTTGCGATTTATTTATTTATTTAATGCCATGTTTTGTCTAGACGCCAACTGCCTGACTGACATCGGGCTGGGGGCCTCTTTTGATATTTACCCAGCGATAACTCCGATTTTATGGTCCTCACATTGTCTCTGCCCTCGCGACGAGTCCTGCGCAGATTTTATGCGATTTTCGTCTGGGCAACCAGGCAAATGGCAAACGGCAACTGGAAAATGGCAAATTGCAAATGGCAGACGCAGTTGCTCCGCATTGGGGCAACGTGCCGCTGCATAAGCAGGCGGGCAATTAAAAGCAAAGAACACAAACGCACACATTTGTGGCCGGCACCGTTTACGGCGAGTGCCGCATCATTAATTAACCCAAAGTTTTAGGAGCTGCCATGACAAATGAGCGTAATTTTTTCATTAATGAAACTCCAATATACAAAATGATTCACAAGAAGTTAAATTGAGGATTGGTAATATATGGAAACACTTACAGATAGTTGTGCATCGGTCAGATACTTTAAAATCCCATTGACATGTTCGTCCTTACAATGAATTTGTTATTTTAAGATACTGTTGGAATCTTAGAGAGAATTTTATATGGTTAAACTACTTTTAAATAAGTAACGTGTTTAAAATGTATCTAAGATGCCTTTGTGTTCCACAAAGGCAAGGGATACCTCTTTATCTTTCAAGTTCACTTTAATCTATCTTATCAACAGGTACACATGGCTATAACAACTACTAATTTAATTAGATATATTAAATTAAAGTTGTAATGGACCAAAAATCGGCAAACAAATAAATTGGCAATGCAACACATCATAACACATGTTTTGAATTATGATTATTAAAAAGAGAATATTCGTTATTTAAGCAAAACATATTACTATTAATAAAAAATGAATAAATAAAGGAAACAAAAAAGCAGCCTCGAGTCTAAATCAAAATGCAGATTAGAGAAAAAGTTGACAACTATTTTTTCAAAGCATTGACACATTCTGCTACCTCCATAATGGAATTCATATTAAAATAATTACAATATACAATTCGAGCTTGATTTAACGCTCTTGTTCCATTGATATTATAAATTTATTTTAAAGTGCCTATAGCATTAGTTAAAGTCTGCTGAGCAGTTAGGCTGCAGCAGCATCTTTGGCAGCGTAAAACATGTTGATAGCAACAAAAAAGTGTGCTTAGCAACAAGTATTTGATGCTTAGCAACATGCGGCTGCGCAACATTTCTTGCGCAGCCGAAAAGCATGCAATACATTTTTTTAAGGCTTAATGCTCGTAAATTATTAATTTTAAGAGGCAAGGTAAAAATGTACTTAAAATAAGTCAATTCCCATGTTTGCAAATATTATGAATTAAATCCATATAACATCTGCAGCAAAAGACAAGAACTTCTTGTTATTATAGAGAGATATACAATAGGTATATTATATATATATTATTATACTAAAGTCTATTAGAAAACATATGAAAAAGTTAGATAGTTCAAAAATAAATTGTTAATAATACGGCACAGCACACGGCCCGATGTCTGGTTGGGGCTGGGGGCTCTGCTTACTCTCTTCATAAATACTCTGAATACAATATGAGACGGAAACCCACTCATATAAACTCCTCCTCTTCCGCCTTATTGCGTGACCCTCTCCAGCCTCTTTCTATGTACACGCCCCTCCTCGTGTTGTTTCACCGACTTCAGATGATTGAGCGTTATGTTGCACACCTCACAGTAGTAGGCGGCGTTTAGATCGTTAAGTTTGCGGAAATCCGGCTTACTATAGCCGGCGTACATGTAGTAGCCGAGCGGATTCAGCGGCACCAGCGACCCGTTCGCATTGATGCGGTACACGTGGCTGCCATCGAAGGGCTCCGAGATGGATGCCGGACAAGTGGAGCGCTCGCGCTTGCGATGGCGCACGCCGGCCATGTGTATGGCCAGCTGGGACTCTGAGGTGACAATCACATCGCACAGCTTGCACATTAGCCACTTGTCGTTGGTGCGAACCCAGCGGCCGGTCCTGTCATAGTAGCCCTCGCCATTTGGCTTGCTGATGTGCCGCTCCACGAGGCGATGGCGTCGCCCATAGAAGTGCTGGCGGGCATGGATAACCGAGGTCAGCTTCAGATCGCACAGATCACAGTGCAGAACGGCGGGTCCCGAGCTGCGCAGATGACGCAGCATATCCTCCGACAAGTTACCCTTAACAAAACTGTATCGGATCAGCCAGGAGTCCACCCGGCGTAGATGCGTCCGCGACAGGTAATGATCCAATGCATTGCGCATCGTTCTCATCGCAGTGTGGCACAGATGGCAGCAGTCCCAGTGGAATAGTGACTGCAGCTCTTGCGGCACTTGCGATGTCATCAGCGACTCTATGCAGCAAAGAGGAGTTTAGCTTTATGGTTAGGTGGCATTGGATAAAACGGAAGGTGTAAATTATATAACAGATGTTTGATTAAAAAATGATTGAAGGATTCGCCAAAAAGTATGAACAGAAACAAAATAAAACTAGTTTCGAGCAAAATCGTTTCAAGCGTTATTTTAAGAAATAATAAAAAAGAGTTGTATATCTGTTAGAAATAAGAAATGACCAAAAGGTAAATTTTTTAGCTTACGTTGATATAAGAGTTTATTAAGAAACCTTTGGTCAGGACCTAAAATCTTATAAAAAGTATAAAATGAGCTCTATAAGAAACTGAATAAACTGTGCGTTAAATTGGACATAATGATTAAAAGTGCTTCACGAAGTATTCTTTATGGATCCGAAAATTAAATAAGAAATGTCTTAAAAAATCCTATAAGTAAAAGCTTTTTAAATGTTTTTCTTTTAGACAATAGTGCAACAAATTTTTGCTTGAACGCGATTTGAAAGGGGTCGTTAACCATTATTTTGGCCAGAAATTGCGACTCACCCGTAAATATACGCTGGTATTTTTGCTGTTCCATCAGCCTCTGATGATCGAGCTCCTGCTCCAATTTCTGTCTCAATAGCAGCTCCCGCTGCAGGTCAAAGTGATGCCCATAATTATCAACGCGCGGCAGATGTGCGTAAAGTGGATGCACCCCATCCATCCGGTATGGCTGGGGGTTGGCATTGGGCAAACATTCGCGTTCTCGCGGCTCCTGCTCTTTAGCATTGTAATCCTTGAAGTCACAGTAAAATGGCGGCTCGTGGTGCTGCGGCTTGTAGCCATTGGGGCCAATCGGTGGAAAACTTGTTAACTGTGGCGGCGCCACTCGGTAGCTATTTCCAAATCTCTTTTGCTGATATATCATTTTGTCATTGTTATTGGTCGCCCAGTAGTTGGGAAATTTGTTGGCCCTGCGTTGCTGCCTGTATCCATTGAGGACCCTCAAGGGCAGCTGTTCAGCTTTCAAGCTCGAAGGCAGCTGGTGCGCTACTTGCTGTGGTCTATTGGTATGGTGTCTGTTGATGTAATGCCGGCTGGGCAGCGCCTTTGGTGGTGGAACAAACCTGTAGCTATTAGCTGGCTCCAGCGGCGACGGAGTTCCGTCTTCCTCCCCATTGCTCGGGAAGTGTTGGGCTATGGTATGTAGATCAATGGACGGCGGCTCGTAAGCATTGAGCAGCTGCGGCTGCAAATTTTCCCCTTCGTCAAGCTCCTCGTGCTGGTCTGCCCAGAGCAGCTCGAACTGCAACGGACTGGACTGCTCCTCGTGCAGCGTGGCCATGAAATGGTCGCGCGTTATCTTCGATGCACCACTGGCATAGGCCGGATAGTGGAATGTGGAGATGGCTTCCTTGGTGGCTGGTTCGCCAATGGCTTCGTGCTTGTGACGACTGTGCACCACGTGCACTGCATCCTGCATCATCATTAATTGGGGCGCCTCACCGCCCAGTGTGTCCAGCGGCAGCAGAGCCTGTGGCACAGAGCTGGCCTCCTGCGCGCGGCCGTGCACGAGGCAGGGCAGCTTCAACTGCTGGCTGAGGGCCTTGGCCTCGGCCGCATTCATCTGCTGGTGGTCGCGATCCAGGCAGCTTGGCGGAAGATTCACCTGGTAGCGATAGACTACATCCTCCTCGGGACGGCGCAGCTCTACCAGCACTGGCAGATGACCCGATCGGGTGCGCGGTTTCGGCAGGGAAGCAGCCAACTTGCTTATGTTCTTCGCACACTGCAGGGCGATCCGCTCATGGACAGGCGGCGTCCGTGGACTCAATTGTGATTTGCGTGCTAACATTTTTGGTTCCGTAGTGGTTATTTTTTTGCTGTTATTGCCGGCGGAGTGTTGGGCGGCTTTTCGACGCTTTACATAGAAAATAGAGAACTCGGTTTATCGTCGAATCGGAATGGTTTCTATACACTTTGGGCCGCGCGAAATTTTTCGACCGCTTAACATTTAACAATACATTTGAATTTGTTGGAATTGGTGTTTAAAATGTGTGAAAAGTTTCTCCACCAATCGAAAAATACATAATAAAACACGTCCTGAGATGGATCTGTCAAAGCTAACTACGATTCCCTCTTTCAACCTAGAATCAACCCTGCCGTCCACACCTTTCATTCCACAATTGTCACACTTCCATACAACCCTAAAATGCCTATCGTTAGCTTCTTTAGTCGAGACTTGACAGTTGCTTTTTATACCCTTTAAATATGTTAAAAAAGTTATCGACTAAAAGAAATTCGATTCCATAGAATTTGATATTATTTTCTGTACCAGAAGAAAAATGACAGCAAACGATGGGCTTAGCGGTGAGATTATGTGCAAAGATTATGTCCAACCATTGGACTCATCGAACCAAATTTGGTAGATGCCAATATTGGGTAAAGATTCAATTTAGACCGCAATTTCCATATGAAACTATGCACAACATGCAATATTTTCAGTAGAACGGGCAACAAGAATATTTAAATTGTTTTATTTAAATTTTCATTATATATGAAAAGCCCATAATATATGTATATATATATATATATATATATATATATATATATATATATATATATATATATATATATATATATATATATAATATATATATATAATTTATAATATATAATATAATATATAATATATTAAATCGGCTGGGGATATATATTAATCCCGTTGGGGTCGGAAAAGTCTTGTTTTATGGATCATACAGTTCATGACAGACTTATAATAACCTCTAAAGAATATAAAAACGTGTTAATAAAGCTTTGGGGATTAACTACTTTATATTAACAGTTTTAGTCCTCAGTTAATACTAAAGTGTACCGGGCTTCTTTTATCCTCCGGGTCTTCGTTGTGCAGTTGACTAAATGACTGGGTCTCTAATAAAACTTTGCTTAATATAAAATGCCAAATAGATTTATTGAATTCAGGAACTAGGTATCACAATCTTATCATTTGATTAGTCCTTGATCATGCATGAACACCTATGTGGAAATAAAATGAAAGTCATGGAACGCACCCTCGCTCTGTAATCTAATACGAAACTATATGTGATAATATCCATTCTCTAAACTATGCTCATTATCAGCTGTGGAAAAAATATGCATACCCCAGATAAGCGATTCATTGCTCTTTATATATATTTTTACCTCTGTGAACTGAGAGTAGACGCTCTTCAGTGCAAGACGAGACCCAAATTTATTTCTTAAATTTATTGAGTTTGTTTTTATAAGGCTTTAACTCAAACCATCTGCTGCCATAATTTAGCCTCGTCTCAATTCGAATGGCTTCCTTTAAGGCCGCCACCCGTTGCTAGAGCCAAGTTTAGCATTTGTAAATGTCAGTTGTGGCATCTAGAGGTCCCAAGAGGGCTCTTTGGAGCTAAGCACATGAAGGCAGCAGAGCAAGACAGAGAGAAAGAGAGAGTGAGAGACGAAGAGCTTTAAATATTTGCGACAAACTGCTTTATAGAGTAAAGCACACAGACATAAACGAATGCGAATGAGTACATATGGGAGTGCCTGGAGCATTGAAATAATGTTTAGCGCGTGATTTTGTGCCAGGTTTTCATCCACTGGCAGCTTCTGGCATCAATTGTCAGCGTTTAGCTGGCGGCCAGGTTTATCGAGGCGCAGCGCACAGGTGCCACACGGGCTAAAGGAGAGCCCGTGAGGCGACGACTGCCAACATCAATAACACTAATGGGAAAAGGATAAAGATAAGCATTAAATAACACACGTACGCATGGCATTTGAGGCTTATGGCGGGGCCCGTGACGTTGATAGCCTCAAGATGGGCTGGGAAAGCGGACACGGAGACCGGAACTGAAGCCTACATGTGCACAGTGCCTATACGAGGTGTTTCTCTATATGTGTGCGTGCTTTCCAAATTGTTTGCCCTGCGGCCCTGACAAGGGCGTGGGCGTGGGCGTGTCAGCGTGTACGTGCCAGCTGTTTAGCGGCACATTGCCTGCCGCACCCTTCCACCTGCCACACGGCTCATTCAACTGTTTTTGTTCAGCGTGCGCATTTTTCACATTTCTCGCTTCCGCTTCCGTCATTGTCGCTGCCCGTGTTCCCAAATTGTGTCACACACGTGAGCAATTTAAAGCAGGCTGGCGCTGAGTCCTTGTCTTGGTCCCCATTTAGACTGTAAACTTAATTTTCGACTGAGCCCGGCGGCGTGTAAATATGCGTACAGCATCTGAAATTTATGAATCGTTTTACATCCGAATATGCAAATTACTCGAATATGCATTGATTTTACTCAGCCAGTAAATGTCGAGTTGCCTTCTAGAAATACGAGCAACGCCGCTTAAAGCAATAAGACAATTAATTTGGAAATCTTTTATATACTATATAAGAATTTCACAGAAGCAAGCTGTTTAGAATGTCTAAAACCAAAGTTGCTTACCCTTTGCTAAGCTGTAATTTTCCAGCATGGCACTTGTAGTAGTATTGACGAAAGCCTGCCTGTCTTAATGCTAGATCGACTTGGCTGTTACGGGAATAGATATTTATAATGGGGCTTGGGATGCCTCCTACTGTCTGTTAAACAAATTTACATAAAACTAATGACACCCTTTTTTTATCTATTTTCAATGGGATCTGGGCATAACAAGCCAGCTTGCAAGCTTTGATCACAGCAAGCCCGAAACTAAAAGTGCTTGCTTTAAAACTTTATCAAAGACCTTAGCCTAGGAGAGCTAGTGTCAAAAGTTCGTCGTCGATTAATTTATGATTCGATTCGAGTTTAAATACTTGTTCTTTTCAGATGTTTATCCAAAATTCTTTAAGTGTATGTTAAGATTAACAAATAGGTTCAGGATAGGTTTGTGCGACACAGTTGTTGATAACACGATTGTTAATCAGTTGATTAACCTGCTTCGACAGCATGTAATCGTAGTGACTGAAACCCTTTTGTTTGATATTCCATTCATCGATTACGTTAGGCAGGCTAGTTGAGAGGCTTTGGACATCGTTTTTGGAGGAAAGCCAATCGTCAGGAGCATGTTGAATCGCCACCTTGCAGTTAACCCGAGTCAAGTTGTACGCCGGCGGCTCGGGTGTCTGATATTGTTGTTGATTAATCACTTCACCATGATCGAATGCCTGGAATTTGACGCTGCTGATTAGCTGGGCATAGTGATAAACCTGGTAGCTGGATGCACCCTGCGATGCGTGGCCAACGACAAGCGGTGTGAGAGTCTGTAATATCAGAATAAAAAATATATATAGCACATTTACATTGCATGATAGGTTGATGAATGTTTCAGTAGGGAAAGGCTAAATGCTAGAAAAACTTTCTATAAAAATCTTGTTTTATAATCCGCTCTTATCATTTGCGGCTTGAGAACAATCGTTTCCCTTAATGGAGAACAGCTGGCCGCTTTAATCTAATATTCAAAGTTCCATGGAACTATATGGCATAGTCGTCGTCTATATCTGATTGGAATAATGCTAGCTTAATTGGCTGATAATTGTAAATATTATAACTATTAGCTCGTAAAAAGAACACATTTGGCCCGAGCAGAGCCAGATAATATCACACACAGATCTTATACTCACGGAATTGAACTGGTTCCAGCCAAATCCACACATAACGTAATCAAAGACGGCGCAAATTGGACTTTCTTGAAGACCGCCCCTGCAGATATGATTCCGGAACTGTGCGATTACAACGTTATCCTTTGAGATTTCATAGCCACCAAGTAAGTTGAGCAAAACCTGAAAGCGCACAAGAAGAGAAGATTAATATATTGGTTGACAGAGAGAGAGAGAGAGAGAAATAGAGGGAAAGAGAGCTACTCTCTCAAAAGCAAGAAACTTACACTTAATTTGCTCTTAAAAAGAGCGAAGAACCGAAGCACTGGACTCTGAGTGTGCTCCATATAGACAGTTGGCGAGAGTGCCTGCATGAGGATCACCTTCTCACAGTAATGAGGTAGTTCGCTGCACATCACAAAGAAGGCGGTAGAGCCCTGCGAGTGTCCGATATATTGAATCTGAGTAAGCTTCGTAATGTCCTGGATCTTATCAATCGAGGCTGGCAGATCGTATATGCCGATTTGGTGGAAGGTGAAGCTCCAGTATTCAGCTGGCTTAATATCGGGATTGGTGTGTTTCTGCGAATAGATATTGCCGCGCGTGTTTAACAGCCAGACATCGTAGCCCTGCCGGTATAGTCGATAGGCCAGTCCATTAGACGGACCCATTTGTACCCAAGCTGCTGAGCTGGACATGAGTCCGTGCACCAGCAATACCACCGGTGCCCCTGGCCGTGGTATGCGATGTAGGCAAAGCACATAGCCATCCGACGTCTTTACGAAATGTGTCTCCACTGGGTAACCGTATTTTTTGATTAACTCCACCTAGTGGCAGATAAAAATATTGAGTTAAGTTAGAAAATCTTCCAATTTCCATGCATAGCTCGCACTTACAGTCCTCAGCTTAGAATCATCTTGAACATCCTTTGCAGTTCTAAAACTAACTAGCTGACTTGGTTGACGGTCAAGTCTCTGCTGACTTATTTGGTATAGGGGATCAGTTACTTTTTGTTTACGTGTTGAGTATGAATAAGGACAATCAACGATTACAATTATTGCTCCATTCGGCGGATTGATTGGTAATGTATGGTTGGTTGGGCTTGGCGTGCCGGGAGTCGGATAAATTGGCCATTCCGTAGTAGGTTGGATAGTAGGATTTGTCGGGCATTGGGTCTGCGCGGACGGATATGTTGGATGTGCGTTGGGCGGATATGTTTTAGATTCCTTAACAGAAGATTCAGTCGGATAAGTCGGTTCCTCGGTCTCACCAGGTAGGCTTGTTGGAGCTGGCCGAATGGTCGGATATGTTGGATATGCAGGCCATCCCTGAGCAGAATCGCCAGGCGGGTATGTAGGATATTCGGTCTCACCGGGTGGATATGTCGGATACTCGGTCGCTTTTATTGGAACTGGCCGAATGGTCGGATATGTTGGATATGCAGGATAACCCTGAGCAGAATCGCCAGGCGGATAAGTCGGATATTCGGTCTCGCCAGGTGGATATGTTGGATACTCGGTCGCTTTTGTTGGAACTGGCCGAATGGTCGGATATGTTGGATATGCAGGATAACCCTGAGCAGAATCGCCAGGCGGGTAAGTCGGATATTCGGTCTCGCCAGGTGGATATGTTGGATACTCGGTTCCCTCGGGTGAATTCGTCGGATACTCTGTCTCACCTGGCCTTAAAGTCGGACCCGAGGGATCTGATGGATTTGTCTGACCGGAAGCAGATATCGAATCATTTGGTTTTGGGTTACATGGACTTCCTGGTGGATAAGCCACGATGATTGTTAGATTTGATGAAACTCCACCTGAACTTGTTGACGGTTTCTGCGTTGCCATTGGTGGCTTTTGGTCAACCGTTGGGGCATCCGGAATCGGTAGCAAGTCCAGCATACAAAACTGGTTTAGCAACTTCTCTTTCATCTGCTGCTTTATTTCTAGCTTTTGAATTTGCAATTGCTGCCTAATTAAATAATTCTTCCTTAATGCGCATTTCAGCGATGATGCATGGACCACTATTCCAATGCAACAGAGCATCAACAGCCCTAAACACAATAACGGACTCATCTTCCGGTCCTTTCAACACTGTGTGAAAAAGTCGTTAGATCCGCCTTATATAGTGAATAGGCGCAACTGTAACAATTGAATTATGAAATCGATTGAAAATGGATCTTAACGTACCGGAAATCAATTCACTTTATTGTATAACCAAATTTCCATACAGAATGCATTTAGTGGACTCAAGTTGTTAATCCAAAACTATTTATCACAAATTTTTCTTAACATCGATTCCTTTGCAAAACGTGGACTTGGCATCGTAATAACTTTATAAAAGGATTAATAACTAATTCGTAAATTAATAAAAGAAAAATTTATACAACAGAAAGCATGCATGCCATTTACCAAATCAAATACGACTTCCGAAATCGATAAGAATTGACATAAATCGAGTTTTCACACCCTTTTTGTTTTATACGGGACACCGTTTCCTTTAGTTTTTCTCAGTTAAAATAAATGATTATTTTTTTTTTAACAATTTATAACAGATCGTATTTTGTTCCATAAATACAAAGGCCTATAACATTTGTACATAGTTCAATACTTGCTTTATGTATTGCATTTATATTATCAATATCATTTAATTACAAGAAAATATATATCAAACTTAATAATATGATTTGTACGTAAAGTTGTCAAACATTCTTTATTGCTAATAATATTTTTCTCTCACACTTATTGCATGTGGACCTGAGATATTAAAAATGCATTTTTTCCATTCGAGTTCTTTTTTTGGCTTATTTTATAATAAAAATTTTGATTTATTCCGGTTGAAACTGTTGATACTCCATTTCTTAGCTAATTAGAATGACAGGAACTTTGATAGCCGAAAACATGGAAGAAATGATTCGTCTTCTTTCCGACCACCACAAGTTGGACTTTCTGGTTGCACGACTGGAATTGGCGGCACGGTATCATCACAGAATTGTTCCAACCACTTCAGCTGATTCTCATGGTTTAACTTAAGTTGTTGGATATTTAATTGCTCCCTAGTTAGATCAATCTGACGTCTTCTGCAAATCGATTCAAACTGACCATGTACCAATAGTCCGATGCCACAGAGCGCCAATAGAGCAGAAACTATAAGGGAATTCATCTCTAGGTTCTTTCCGTACTAAGTGGACTGCTCATAACATGCTATTTATATAGTACCAATCCAGTAGCTAGGCGCATCTAAGGAAATTTGTATATGAAATCGATTAAAAACGGTGCATAAGTTGTGGAAAATTACGTCGTCTCATTGCATAACCAGAATGCATGCGGAATGAATTCGAAGATTTAAATATTCCAATACTTTATATAACGAGTTATACCAAGAACAAATAATAAGGAGCGGTATAATAGTTTTGTCCAAATATGCGCAACAGATTAAGGTGGACTTAATTATAATTCATCAGGTATGTATATATGAACATATTTTTGAACAGCATCAACTTCCGAACCTTGTTCACCTGCTGCCGATCCATCCGCCAGGCTAAAAAAGCTAAACACTTAATCTAAGATTAAAACCGATATCGATATTATCTTAATTTTATCCATATCTCGAACTAAAATTTCATATATTATTATGTTTTATATTATTAATATAAAAATGTATAGCTTATACCAAAGGGTAATACAACTAAAGTAAAGTAATTAACCTCCGCTAAAAAAATTTAATTTAGAGAGTATCACAGAGTATGCACATACACGGCTTGCCACTTAACTTTTCTTATTCATCATATATTTTTTTTAAGAACTAGAAGGCTGTGGGTTGAATGGGGGGAAATGCTTGTGTTGTTATGTTAGGAATGATAATCTATTTTAGTTACTTCCGTTGATTTTTGATTTAAACATATGTTTTGTTCTTTAATATACTTAACTTGTTTTTTTTTTTTTGGGTTTTTCAATTTGCGAATTGTTCTTGAATTACTTGACCTAAAAAACTTACAATATGTCGTCTACTTACGCGGCCTTTGATAATGCCCAGGAAAGGGAAGAGTTACTGTTGCTGCAACGGATAAACGAGATGGAACGACGCTACGAGCTGTTAATGCCTATGGCTCAGGAACACAATCCGGCCTGGTGCCGCGACACGTTCTTGCGTCAACTGTTTGCCGAACTGGACCTGGAGCAGGCCGAGCCTGAGCTGAGCAAAGAGTCTAGTTCCATTACAATATCGGAAAAAAGTTATGGTGGGATGCCGCAATTCACGCCAACCGTGTCTATAACCAACTTTCTGCGATTTGCACCAAAGATGATAAAGACCGCCCGAAAGCTGGATCGGGTCAGCACAAGGGAGATCGCTGCCGACGCCTACAAGCTGAGCGTGCTGACGGGTCGCACGGACCTGCGTTATGGCGAGCTGCTTGAATCGGTGCAGCGCTCCTCGCTGTTCTTCATGTTTTCGCGCGTCATGAACCGTCTACGGATCATGCAAAGCATCTCCCTGGACAGTGGTGACATGAATCTGAATGACTTGCCGCACAAGTTGTTTAAGTGGTCCATGGAGGAAGTTTTCAAGCGCTGCCAGCTGCCCGATGATGTCTATCTGGATGTACTGATGCGTAACTATAGTGAAGATGTGCTGGATTGGGCCAAGTTTAGCACCGATCTGGTCGAGATATTACGCTACTACAAGTTCATCTACACGGAGACGTACCAAAACAGGGGCTATTCCACGATGATGGCCATATTGTGGGACCAGCAGCACTTGCTCAATATTGGCGAGCAGCTGGACAAGGATCTGCAAATCTCAATGAAAACGTTCAAGAAAATAGAAGAGCAGTCGCGCATTATCTCCACTCGTTGGACGGCCCAATTCCAGGATAATTTGGTCAAGAGGTGCCAACGACGCTCCATGGAGGCTACTGTGCGCCTGCCCATCGAATGGCGATATGTACGCGATTACTATGCCACCCTGGTGAAGATGCAGGCCATGAGGGACAATATGCCCGTGGTACAGCTGGAGGAGCAGATCCAGAAGTTCAGGGAGTCCATACAGAAAGACAATAACACCACGAATTCCGTTCTGTACGTGTACAGCATTATCGTAGAAGTAATCAATTTAATTCATCGCAACATTCTCGTCGTTTAACGCACAATTAACCATTACAGAACTATTATGACCGCATATTTAATTTTACGCAAAAGCTTTCTGACGATATGGAATACTGGGAAGATCAGATAATTAGGGTGAAACTTCAGTTGGCTAAGGTCCATGATGACCACAGGGAGGCACAGGAAAAAATTATTTTCATGCGTAAACGTGTTGCTGAGGTCCAGGAAATAATCGCAGCTGAAAACCAATCCAAAATAGATGCCGCTGTAAAATAAATCGGTTAAATTAATTTGGATTTCAATAAGGTCTTCGTTTTCTTACAGATTATGGAGGAAGCTCAACGGCAGGCGGCGTTGTCAGGGAGATCCCAGCGACGAGGCATGCTTTCGAAGAAGAAAAAGGATAAAGCTATATTCAAGGCGCCTAGCCTAACGCCAGTCAAAGGGAGAAGGAAGAAACCAAATGATAGCTGAATATAAAAACGCTTTTCTGGAATACTTTCAAGCCTATCTACTCGGCAACTAAGTTTATAGGACTCTCCGGTGCAAGATTTCCCAGAAGCTGAAGCGATGGTCCTTAAATGAGATTGTCAGACAAAAGCTTCTTGGAAAACTGTTCATAATCAAGAAGTGTATTACTTGATTGTCAACAGTTTTCTTTGGAGCTTTTAAGCTTTTGTTAAATATAATTTTAAACAGCTTAAAATAACACTTGGACGGCTGCTAAATGTTGAGGTGCCTAAACTCGATTAATATAAGTTTAAATATGCATAAAGAGCAGCATATCCTGTCGTATTATCGTTTTACTTATTATTTGTACATTGTTTTCATTCTAGAAGATATTCAGAGTATATTTTTGCAACTTTATTTGACTTAGAAGCGTATGCATGTGAAGCTTTAATGAGCTTTGAGCGAAAGTTGTAGCTAGCATATCTACAGCCCATTCACGTTAATTATTGAAGTGCGGTCGTCTGTCTCGGCCTGTTGTCCTTTGATAGCTTGTCGTGCTCCTCTGTTGCTTCCGCTGCTGCTCTGTGTTGGGAAACTTGTGTCGCTCGCTTGTTTGCGCAAATTCGATTATCAAAATACACGGTGAGTAGCGGAGTGGCAACAGGGAGCACAAAGGCGAGAAAAGGATAATGCCATGTCGCCGCATTAACGCGGAGGCAGAGGCCGGAAGCAGGAGTTGACTCGAGTAGGAGACAGTCGACCTGCCAGACCCGGCTGCGGCAGGTCTGCCCTGGTGTGAAACAAGCTGGGAAATTGAGTTTGAGTTTGGCTCCTTGCCTGGATCCTTGCTGATTAAAGCTCGCTGCTTTCTTTGTTTGCCAAGTTCTGTGGTGATTCGCAACTTTTTTCAAGCATATCATTAGGATGCAGTGCAGCCGACATGGCAGCCATGCACAAATGGCATATTAAGCTCCACTGACAGCCGCGTTTATTGCGCAACCCGAAGCCCAGGATGAAACGGAGGCTGCGGAGGGACCTTGCCCATGCCCAAGTCATGACACATATTAAATTTCATTTCCCTGGCAGTCGGCATTGGGCGCCTAATGAAGGTTAAGCAACTTTTAATGTCCTCTCGTGCTCGTCCCTTTGCCTGCCACTGGCCATTTTGCAGACCATTAAATGTTTTGCCTGGCAATATGCCATATGTTTTGACATGGACATCTCCTGCTCTGGGGGGTTATGCTCGGTTTATGTTGGAAAAACTTTTCTTATCATTTGCGAGAAAGTCATAAAGACATGTGTGTGCACTTGTGTATGTGTATGGGCTCGTGTGTGTGATGACAGAAAATGGTAATGATGAAGCCGGATCACATACAGCACATAAGCATATGCTCGGCTTAACATTACAGCGTCTGAAATGGCCAGTAAGAGGCAATTTATACACACAAACACGGCTTCACAATCCCTTGCCTAAATCCTTGCTTGACTTTGGACTGAAATTAAATTTATTTGACAAATCGATATGTATTCGAACTGTTGCATAATTCGAAGTAATTGCATTTTATGCTCTGTTTGGTTTAATTTCGATATAAAAATATTTAAAGTGGATTTGAATACAAAATTGACATCTGCATTAAATTGGCAGATAATACATTTTTAAGCTTGATACAAAAATATCTTTAAGGCAAATTTCAACCCAATTCCAATTTTTAGTAATTTATCGGTTGGTATTAAGTCTCTGTCAAGTTTGTCAGGAGACTCAGTACAAAATTGTCTAAGGCTAATGAATGAAATGAATAGAATAATGATTTTATATTTATTCTGCATATAGTGCAAATAGTATTTCAAACATTTCGGTTGTTTGTTTTATAAAGAATACGTATGCTTTATTCTTTAATGTTAATGTTGATAAAATATTCCTATTGAGCATTCCAGATGATGGGTTAACAAAAAGCTGACTCATTTCTTGTTTCGAAAAGACAATTCCGAAAGAGTAAAATCGTGAAGATAAGTGGTATTGGCGGACTTTTAAAAGATTTGCAAGCCAAGCCTCTCCTAAATCTCTACAGATTTCTCTTAATTACAATTTACCTTATGAAAAAGTCAACTATGATCTGCATATAACTGCTTTTCAGGCACTTATCTTGTCAAGGGATTGTTCCAATTAAATGTCCAAGCTAAAATATCTTTTCGAACTTTTGTTCATATGTTAATTTGCCAACAAGCCAAGCAACATGCTTTTTTATATTTTCAAATATCTACACAGAATGATTGTTATCATAGACTTTATTACACACCTGCCGCCATACCGCCTCACACTTCTGAGCAAACTCTATTAGATTTGTTTTCGTCATGCTTGGGGCAAGTTCCTCCCTCACTCAGACGTCCACTTTGATAGTGTGAGAGCTGCATTAAAAAAGCAACGCTTTGAAGCGTTTCTTACAACTCTATCCACACCCAGCGGGACAGTCCCCGATCCGACCAAGCAGAACGGAGCGTCGAAATCAAAAACTTAAACTTGAACTTCTGCCTTAGACATTTATAGTTATCAACACTTACATGTTCACTGCAACCCCCGAACCCTCATCTCTGCTGTTACTGCTGTAATTTAACGGTCCATTGAGTGTGGAAATCAAATTGTCCAGCTCCCAGTTCGAGCTACAGTTCGGAGCGGGCGCACCCAAAACTGGGTCGCCTTTGGTATTGTTTTAAGTTTTCCAATTAAAACAAATGCAACAAATGCGATAAAACAAAGGAATTTGGTCAACAATTTTGTTGTGTTATTTGTGGAATTCTGGCATTTTTTAACACGCTAAATTTATGCGTGGAACTTTTCGTAGGAGTCGTAAATTTCGGCATTGCGACTCGACTTTCGATTGGACCCGGTGCCGAGGCTTTTGTTTTTCCCGGTTATTTATTCAGTTGCCTTTTGCAACACTATCTTTCACTTGCTGTTGCTGTTGCAGTTGCAGTTGCAGTTGTAGTTGTTGTAGCTGGTTACTGCCGTCATGGCCACTTGTTTCCGCACACCATTCCTTACCGAGCTAGCCGGGGTAGCAGCATTTTCTCTCTTTTTACTGTCGCGACTCCAAACACGAGAAGTCCATTTCGAAATTTATGTACACACAAATTGAAAGCGCGCTGCGAATGGAAGAAAACTGCAAAAGAAACAAAAAAGAAAAAAACACAAAAAAAAGAGAAAGAAAAGCGAGAAGAATATATAAAAAACGACTCGACACTCGCTGCAAACTTGGCTGCATTGCTCGAATTGCAGTCTCGATGCTAGAAAAAAAATATATATATAAAAAGAAAAAAAAACAAAAAACACAAAAATATAAAAGAAAATCAACTAACGAAAATACACTTGACTCCCCGCTTTGTATAGCTGTCCCATGGAAGTGCTGCCCCAACAAACGCCTTGTCAAAGCCAGGCAGCCTTCTGATGCCACCAAGTGTTGACATTGAGGAGCTAGGCGGGGCCAGCGCAGGGGCTAAGTGCTGCAATCGAAGTCAAACGCGATCCAAGTTCCGGGAATGAGTGGAGAGTGGAAAACTGACAGCGATCTATGAGATATGATAGATTGGTTCTGAAAAGAATTTATTCGTATCTTGAAGTTGAAGATTAAAGCTTAAAAAAGACTCAGAAAAGCGCACCAGACCAAATCTTCCAAATCTTCAATATTATCAATTTAACTGCTCTTATAAAAATAATGAAGAGCCTGTATGTTCTAAAACAATTTAAGAATATTGTTTTTTTTAAAGTGTAAAGTATTTAAAAGATTATAAAGACACTTCAAAATGTTTAACTTAGAAACCATTTGTAATAATTAAAATACATCTATTTAAGCATCTGTAAAATATGGAATAAGATATAGGTAAAACTGACCCAACACAATTTAATAAAATACTTTATATACATAATTATATAAATAATTTCTTTCGCAAATATATTTTTATATAAATTATTTTCAAAACAAACACAATTTGGCATAGGGAATGTGCAAAGTTTATTGCACTTTGAACTCTCAGCGCCAGCATGCAACTCATTTATAAGGATTAAAAGGTTTCGCTGAGGCAACCTCAACGTCAACATTGGCATTGGCATTGCCATTGGCACTTGGCATAAATTAAATGAAAGAGTCTCTGTTGAAAATGGGTTGCCCGGCCGAGCCAAGGGTACATTGCACCCAGTCAATGACACAATGGAAACAGTCAGCCAGGTATTCACTAACTATTCGCAGGATTCACCTAGATCAGCCCGAGGAGCTGTTGCCAATGCTCATTGGCATTGTTTCAGTTGGCAGCTCGCAGTTGGCAGTTTGAATGAGCTTTGCTCCCCCTGACAAAGCTGTATCTGCTTCCTGAGTTGACTCTGGGCAACTCCTTCACTGCAGATCCAGTTGCAGCTTTAAAGCTGATGCCTCCTTAAAGTCAATTATGCCCAAGTTGTGTGTCTTCTTTGTCTGGCCGGGTGTGTATGCTAATTTGATTACAATGTACCGAACGGGCTGGTTACTGGTAAGCGGTTCCAGTTCCAGTTGCCTGTTCTAAGTCCCCTCCATGAATTATGATGGACGTTGTCATGAAAGCGCGAACAGAGGCGGGCAGAGTGCGGGCGCTGTGGTCGGGCTGGTTGTGCGTGTTGGCCATGTTTATCTCTGGTCAACGTATACTTAGCACATGGTATCAATGGGCACTGCATGTGGCGGGCGGCAGGGGCTGGTCGGCGGGCTTATTGCTGGTTTGGCGTTTTTGCATGCCACGCCCACAGCTGTAACACACGATACGATAAATGGCTGGAAAATGGGAAATGAAGTGCTTAGTGCTGGGCATAGTGCCAGGACTTCGGTCGCGCCACTTCATTATAAACATTTCTCAATTGATTATCGTTAGTGTGTGCCAAAGTGTGTGTAAGTGTGCGTTTGTGTGCATGTGTGTGCGTGTGTGATAATGCTATAATTATGCCTTGCTTTTCTTGGCGTGCAGGAGCTATCGGTGCTGCGCGGCGTTGGGCGTTGCGGCTTTGCCGGGGCGCTTATATTTGCACGCATGTCCTTTATGTTCTCATGTGTGTGTGCGTGTGTGTTTGTCAGTAAGTATCTGTGTGTGTGTGTGCCTGTCATGGGGTTTTACACCATGTTTATGGCTTCATGTTGTGTGGGGCTAGAGTAAGTGGCAGCCACTTTTGCATGCTCCTCTCACATTTAAGCAAGTAATCCACATAAACTGCTCTTGAAATATTTCATTATCGTAATGAAAAGGACTTAAATACATTTATTTTTTGCCAGCTGGAAGCCCATTTCATGCATGTGTGTGTGAGTTTGAGTTCCCTTATTGATAATAAAAGTAGATTCGGGTTCGCC